TCGTAACCGGAGCAGTCTGTGGGGCTTCCCCGCAGAGTTGAGCTTCCTAGCCAGCATTGGACCCGGCTTATTAGCACAAGTATAAAATTTATGTTTGGTCCAACGCAAGGACCGTTCAGCCTCCAAAGAAGCAAGCAGGTCCAATTCTGCAGCCAGAGCATCCCACGTTCATTTATGGGCGCAGATGGGTGCGACTTCCAACAAGTATCCACAGATGCTAGTAGAGAATGAAGGTCCAAAAGATGACTCTCCCGCTCCTGGACCACAGCTAGCTGTATGATATGGCCCGGCACCGTGGCTTTATGCGCCTTCCACAAGGGCACTGCCGAAGAAACAGATCCCGAGTTCACCATGAAATATGTACGTATGAAGGATTCTATTTGTTGGCAGGTAACCTAAATGGTCAGTAAAGATTCGTCAATGCACCAGTGAAAAGGGCACCGTGCTGACCCTGAAAGGGCAAGGAGTAGAACCAGGGGGTTGTGATCTGACCAGGGCAAGGAAGGGATAGATTATTCACTTGACTAAGGGAAGTTGTTGGACGCGCATAAATATGTGGGCAATTCTACAGAAACTGTTATGGGGATTTGAGCAGAACGTGAAAACGTGCTCAGCTGGGTGAAGTTCCCTCCAAACGTCCACCAGCACCACAGTCTGCAAAAGAGAGCGCATACATTCCTCCCAACACTAAGTCATGAGAAAGTGCCGCCCCCCAGGGATAACACCTATCTAGAGCAGAATCCAATGTAACAGTTGAATTCCCAAAAGAAGGAGAAGACCCTTGGAGTGTTGGGAAATGATGGTGCAAAGATGGGAGAAAAAATTAAGCTGAAAGCAATTGGGGGCGTAATAGGAGACAATGACCTCCTGGTCCTAGAGGGTGCCCTGTAGGAGAAAGTACCTACCCATGTTGCCCGCTATATTCTGAACACAGACGAAGGGGAGATTACATTTAAAAGCTATCAAAACACTCTGTCGTTTCTCAGGAGCCGAGGCCATGTAGAAAATGGGATAATGAGGCGAAAGATACCGTGGGGCGGAGGACTGGGAAAACCTTGTTTCCTGCAAGCATACCACATCAATTTGTTGCAATTTGAGGTGATGGAAAATTTTAGACCTCTTCTGAGGCGAATTAAAGCCTAGGATATTTTGTGAATGTACTTTCAAAAGGGGTGAAGCCATGGCGGAATCGTCAGAATCTGCTCAGCAGAAAAGGCATAAGTCGGCTAGCACTTTCCATTCCCAAAGACAGTCGGACCCTAACTTCCCAAAACCCTGCATAAAGCAAGAGCGGAAAAACCAAAAAAAGGAGAACAAGAAAGGAAAAGAGGAGAAAGACATAGAAAATATGTCTGCTCCAGTTTTAATAAAAATTCCACCCATTGTATCTGAGTAAATTAAAATAAATAATAAACTAGATAAGCGTTTGATCTAGGTTAGTATAAGTGTTCGTGTCAGTGACAGTGTGTTTTAGGTAGAGAAAAAAAGGTTTTATATGTTGAGTCAGTGTGAGTGTTAGCGTCAGTATGTTTAGACACGATATTAAAAAAAAAAGAAAGAAAAAAAAAAAAGCAAAAATGTGCACTTTTGTGTATCCTACTACAGGTAGAAAGAACAAATACCACACATATGCGGTATTGCCACAATCATCATGAGTAGGGGGCAGGTTTTTTTTTTCTAGTGGTGGATCATTGCAATGGCATTTTTTTTTTTCTTTACTATTTTGGGACAGTTTTCATTTGATAATAAAACAAAATATGAAGGGATCCATTACAACTAAATGAAAGCACAATTTGTGCTAAAAAAAACTATGGTATAATTCACCTGGATACACTTAAACAGTTACAGAGATATGTTCAGTTTCACTAACCCATTCCAAATTGCAAAACTAGGTTCGAGCGTTAAGAGCAGGAAAGAGCTCAGGCATGTTTGGATTCTAGTTTGAACCTACCAACTAGGAATTCAGATTGTAGTTAGAACCCACATGAGCTATCCCACCAGGAAGCCATCATTACACAAAGCCATTGGCAAGCAGCCAAGGCATTCCCCACCCCACAGTCACACATACCTGAGGTTTTGGGGTTGGGAATACCTCAACTACTTACCACTGGCTCTGTATGGTGACACCTTTCTTGTGGGATAGCTCATGTGGGTTCAAACTCTGATCTGAATTACTTGTTAGGATTTGATATGACCTTCGTCATTAAGGGGTTAAGGTTGCAGCTAGGGCAGATAAGGACAGTTTTTTTTCCCTTTGACCTACATAAAATATAAATGGTCAAAGTCTTCCAGTGGGTTTTCTGCCTTACTGGATGAGGAGGTGGAGTGAACATGAATGTCAAATAACAGCACTACTTAGAACTAAATAAATGCTACAGTTTTCATCCTGCTGGTATCTGTTTTTCGCTGTATACAAAGGAAAGAAAATGAAAATGGCAGGGGATTTTTAATCATTTCTTAATCTGTTTTCAAGTCTGTCTTGTTCTGTGCAGCGAGAAAAGGAATTGAAAATAGAATGAACATTGAAGCTTCAAGCATTGTTTAAAACAAGCATTAAAACAGATTAGAGAAGGGCAAAACCTATATTAAAAATAACCTGTTTTCTTTCAATCTTTTTTCCTGCTTTTTGGGAAAGAATAAAGCCACCCGTCAGCATATATCCTTACGGTGCTCACAATGAGGCTTGGATGGGGCAGTTGGAAATCCCAACTTCAAAGATTGTAGGTTTGGGATTAGGTACTCTCAGAACACTAGTTTACAGGATAACAGCGAATCTCATACAGTGGGGTGATTTGGTGTCATATAATATCATATCAGGATGAAAAACATAGCTCCAGGTTACATATGTCCTGTGCTTCGTTTCTGTTTAGATGCAAAATATTAAAGTCTGGCTTGTTTTTAAACATCATTCTAAAATATCAAGAAAAAGCAAAACTAGCGCTCATGTCTTCATGCACCACAGGTACACAGAATCTGTCACTCGCCGAGGTGCAGCCCTCTAAAGATAGGGAAATCTTGATACCACTGGAGAAAGAAAAAAAAAAAAAAAAAAAAAAAAAAAAAAAACACAAAAGGTTGCACTCTCCTCATGCATTACTGTGATAAAAAAAGGATTTATTAAAAAATAAACAAATGTATACTCACAAACAATAGAAGTCCTATGACAGAGTATGCGAACGCAGAGTCGAGCTCCCTTCCTCAGAGCTGAAAACATATACAGGGAAGCAAATGTAGTAAGAGACCAAATGAGCAATTGATGTGAGAGACCAAAACCACTTGGAGGAGGTGTGGTTTTGTTCTCTCACATCAATTGCTCATTTGGTCTCTTACTACATTTGCTCCCCTATATATGGGCTCCCAACATGTCTAGTGTTTTCAGCTCTGAGGAAGGGAGCTTGACTCCTGAAATGCGTTACCATACTCTGTCGTAGGACTTCTATTGTCTGGGACTGTCACCGAGTTTGTGTTTGCGAGTATACATTTGTCTATTTTTTTTATAAATCCTTTTTTATCATTCTAAAATACTACAGGGCTGTGTACATATGCTTGTCATGGACTAGTCTAGGTAATCCAATCAGCTAAATAAAGTAGTATTTGCCACCAGGAGTGGCAATGACAATTTCACTAACCACTAGCCTACAGGGCACTTATACCCCCTTCCTGCCCAGGCCAATTTCCAGCTTTCAGCGCTGTCACACTTTGAATGACAATTGCGCAGTCATGCAACACTGTACCCATATGAAATTTTTATCATTGTTTTGAGACAGATAGAGCTTTCTTTTGGTGGTATTTATTTACCTCTGGGATTTTTATTTTTTCTTAAACAAACCAAAAACCACTGAAAATTTTGAAAAAAAAAAAAGTTTTTTCTTAGTTTTTGTTATATAATTTTGTAAATAAGTGATTTTTCTCCTTCACTGATGTGCGCTAATGAGGCTGCACTGATGGGCACTGATGAGGAGGCACTGGTAGGTTGCACTGATGGGCATTGACGGGCATCACTGATGGGCACTGAAAGGCAGCACTGATACATGACACTGATATATGGCACTGATAGGCGGCATTGACTGGCACCGATAGGTGGCACTGATGGGTGACATTGAAAGGCAGCTCAGATGGGCACTGATAATGTGGCATTGATGTGCACTGGTATGCACTGATATCTGGCACTGATGGGCACTGGCACGTGGCACTGATGGGCACTGACTGCGGGCTCTAATGGACACTGACAGGTGGCACTTCTGGGGCCACACTGATCATCAGGGCCACACTGATCATCAGCTCCCTAAATACATGTGTTTTGCTACCAAGGGGCATCCAATAGATGTGTCTTCACAGTACTTAGCATAATGGTTATGCCGATTGTTGTTTTGAGAAATACACAGTATGGGACTCTGATTACTATGGTTTTGGCAAGTTTGTGATGTCCTTATGACATCATGGGGCAGGAAGTAGTTAATTTGCCTGTTTTTTGATTGATGGATGTTACTTTAAATGTCACTGTATTCCACACTACACTTGTCACATGTCTAAAGAAGGGGTCCTGCGCGGCCCTGTAATGTTTCTACTTTACGCTGTGATGTGATTGCTTCATTTAAAACTTTTTGGTTGGTGGCCTGGGTTCCCTCCTATGCTAGTCACATGACCAAATGCTAGAGACCTCACATCACATTTAGACAGGGCTCTGGACTATTTGACTAGTATAACATCAGCCTCCAAGCCTCATTCTGCAGAGATTCTGTGACCCGTTTTCCATCATTTGCTCATGTGACTGGCATTGGAGGGATCCATAGGACAGATTTTTCCTGGAATAATAAATAAAATAGCACTGCTCTTAATTTTTATGATTTTAATGCTGCAGGATGATTAGAACGAGGAGATGATATTTTATAATAGCTTTTCTATAATGCTGAGGCCTGCAACAAGAAGTTGGACAAAGCATATAAAATAACACAGAGCATAGCAATATAACAAAAAAGATAAGTTAGAGGTAGATGTACCTGTGTTTGTTCCTCAGGCAGCAGATCATAAATTGCCTCATGCATTTTAGCCACTTGCTTGCAGATATTTCTAAAGCACGTGGACGGAACAGGGGCTTTTACTTCATACTGTAAACATAAGATTCATAACTATCAGACATTGTATAAATATCCTATTGATTAAGGAACTGAAATTCAAAATATGATTCAGTTGTCAACAGATGCACCAGTGCAAGCTATAGAAAAGCAGCTTGAACTTCCACAACTGTATTGTATAAAATGCCAATATGATAGATACAAGAGAAATTCTACTGTTACACTCCCACTCCCCTCCCTATTCCCTAAATTCAAAAAGGCTAGAAGAGGAGCTTATATGTTTACCTTTGGGTCTATCACTTACCTCCTGTCTAGGCTACATGACCAAGGGCCACAGCATCTGTTATATAATCTGTGCTGAAGGAGTATATATGTATGGGCAATACCTGACAATCAACAGGTTCATATAAAACATACATTTTTACTTCCACCCCTTTTAGTAATTAGAGAAGCAGGATAGTCAACTACAGATTAGGCTGACTAATTCCTTTGTCCATCAAAGTAAAAGGATCCCTTAATGCCCCCTACTCTAGCAGCACAGATTCACCTTTCCTTGTTCCTGCACCATCCCACTGGGACCAGTGAAAGCTCCAAACTGACTTATTGCAGCCCCGGTCTAAGGACTTTTCTAGTTCTATGTGAATATGCTAAGCCAATCATGAGACACCCAGCCATGTCACATGAGGCTGGGTACGTAAATCACATGCCCGAAGTGCCTGGTATATCACTTTCCTTTCTGTTGGCAGATGAAGTTGGTGGCAGGAAAGGTTGGTATAAATCTGCTGGGGAAGGGAGTAAAGTTAAGTCTCCCTTTTACCTTGCCCTGCATGAGAAAATGCAAAGGGTTACTTTAAGCTAAAGGTAGACAACTGGTCCCGTTACATGCAGGGGCGGACTGACCATTTGGAAACTCGGGCACTGCCCGAGGTCAGTAGGGGGCCCCATGAGATGCCCCTAGTACCTTTTTCATAGGCTTTTTTGAGTTTGGGCAAGGACACAGGGGCCCCATGATCCCCTATTGCCCGGGGGCCCCATGAGTTGTCAGTCCGCCCCTGGTTACATGTGTCTTATTACCTTTTTAAAAAGCAAAAAACACCCATCGTTACACTGAGAACTCTCTGTCAAATATTTATAGCATGCAAAGTGGAGAAATGACTCTCCTAGCAAGTATAATTTGCTTTCAATTGCAATGATGTGCTCTGTAATTGCTTATCCAAACAAGACAAGCTTTCAAGATCATTACTTGGATTATATACACAACATGTAGCTATAAATTTGAATGTAGAAATAAGTTTCAAAAGATATAAAGTTCAATTAAAATTTCAATAATTTTGAATGGCCGTATATGCTAAAGCTGCAATAAAATAACTGGTGTCAATACAACAATAGCTGTTGGCTTCATCATAGAGAGAGGCATAAAAATCTGTGATACGTTTTACCATCTACAGTGAAAATGCACTGACATTACAGCCAGAAGTGATCATTGATCCAGATCCATATTCCTTGGCTAAATATTGGGTTTTCTAATTAGTAGTTTTTTTTTTATATAATAATTTTCAGGTACCTTTGACAGGAGTTTGTCAAATAAACCATCCATTAGAGATACCAGTTTGGCAGATATTTCTGCTATGTGGTCATTGTAGTCCTGTTGGCAGAAAAAGGAGAGATCATGAATTCATTTCTGTCATTTCTGTAGTACAGACATATATTACAGTGCTAAAACCTTTTTGTTCACTCCCGGCCTTGCATTTTAAGGTTCCGATCACGGTCATATAAATTCAACTGAAAATGTGGTAGAAATTAGGGAAGCAGGAAAAACATTATGGGTAGCACAGTGGCTAAGTGGTTAGCACTTCCGCCTAACAGCACTAAGGTCGTGGGTTCACATTCCAACCATGCGCTACCTGTCTTGAATTTTCATGTTCTCCCTGTGCCTGGGTGGGTTTCCTGCAGGTACGCCGGTTTCCTCCCACACTCAAAGACATGCTGGTAGGTTAATTGGCTCTTGTCTAAATTGGTCCTAGTATGTGTGTGTATGACATGAGTTAGAGACCTTAGATTGTAAGCTCCTTAAAGCAGGTGGAAATGTACATAATATATGTAAAGTGCTACGTAAAACGACGCTATACAAGTACCTGTAATGATTAAAAAGTTATTATACACTCAGTGGCCACTACTTTAGATACACCCAGTACTAGCAAGACCGCTTTAGCTTTCAGAACACATTGATTTTGTTAAAATGCTGGGAATGTTCTTTAGGAGTTTTGATTGGTGATGAATCTATTCCATCATATAGCTCCTACAAAGCTGTCATCCTTTAACCTTTTATTTCTCTATGTCAATTACAGTACAGGTAGTTCACTGAGGAGGAACCAAATTTATGTATGGTAATCACAGCAAATAAGCCAACTGGCAAAATATCATTTGCTTTAGCAAACCCTTCCTTGCTGATGCTGTAAATAAAATTAGTGTTTGGAGATGCAATAATTGGATTACCTTAGTGATGTGGTCGAACTGTCGAAGCAAGCTGTACTGTTTAGGCTGCAGGCGGGCTTCAAAATGAGCTCTGATTATAGGAATGTAGTGTACTATGAGCTGGAGACAGCGGGAAGACAGAGCTGAAAGACAAAAACTCATCATCTACACTGTAACAGTTGTGTAGGTATATATATATATATATATATATATATATATATTTTTTTTTTTTATTGTGTGCATACAAGAGAATACTCTACTGTTTAACAGCTGAGATTCAAGATTATACACCCTGTCAATGTTCTAAAATAACCATGATTTTATACAAATCTGTGTATAAATAGATATACATTTTATATAGATATTATGCCTCTTGGTAATTTATTGTTAAAAAAATGTTCCCACGTTTAAATAACAATTCTAACAGGAAGGTGGTCCTCTATTCACATACAGCATTTCATTGCCATTAATACTCACAGGAAGAAACTATAAAGGACATTACAGCCTCTGCTACTGTGAGAGGTAACCTCGTTAGAAGTCGGCTCACTGGGAGAACACTGAATTCATTGTTTTGCAGGAGATTGTCAATGAGTGGATATGTATCATAAGTAGCATTAGATCGAGATTTAAATAATTCTGTAGCTTCCCTCTGAATTAACTACTGTTAAAATGCAACCTGGGAAAATATTTTCTATTACTTAAATTGAGAAGTTATTGGTGGTGTTACCAGTGGTAACCAGTCACATTCAGTGGTCATTATTCTAGAGCAATTTTAAGGCTCCATGCACACTGGCTCAAAAAACACCAAAAAGCAAAAAAAAAAAAAAAAAACCTAGAGGAGCTTAGCATTTTGCCTGTAGAAGAAACAAAACTTCTCCTATGCCCATAAGGTAGTCTAGAAGTGTTTTTTAAGCTCAGCATTTAAAGACAGAAAAAAAACGCTTCTGTTTTGCATTTTTGAGAGTGTTTTTCTGGCAGAAGAAATGCTAAACGCTTCTAAACGCTAGTACAAAAAACACACTCAAAATTAGCATTTTTTTTTTTCGCCAAGAGCATGGGCATTTTTTTAAGCCAGTGTTCATGGAGCCTTGGCTGCTACAATTCCACTTTGATTTCCCATACTTTTACAGCAAAAACCAGCACAGGCATATAGATACAACAGATCAGTTGTAAAAAAAAAAAAAAAAAAAAAAAAAAAAAATGGCTCACCCAGGTTTTTTGTGGTTATAGTCTTCAGTCCGACAACCTGTAGTGCCCCAGCTCCCAGGACCAGCTGACAACTGCGGGAGTTAAAGTACTAGACAAAGAAAATAAACAAACAATCTTCAATGTAAGGGTTTGAAAGGTAAACAGAAGAGATATACTTCATTCCAAAGACAATTCTGAGAAATGGGAAACCACCTAATCATGTGTTAAAGGAGAGCATTGTGCAGATCATAATAGTGAATATGCTGGTGGATCAAAGTGTTATTCTAAACCCAGGTGATAATATCACTCCCTCCTTTGTCATCCTAAAGAGCAAAGGAAATATAATTCATACTGCTAAGATACGCCATTTGAGTAAAATATTTCATTTACATCATTTTCCTTGAGAAATAAATTACTATTTTTTTTTTTTTATTATACAACATTAGTAAGAGAGAGAATTGTGCAGCTCCGTTTACACTCTCGCCATGCTTTGCTTTCAGGTTAAAAGAAATCTTTGTGCACAGATAAATGGTGAAGTTTAATGCCTTGACTTTCCATGAATGTTGGTTGCAATTAGCAAGATAAGTATAAAATATGCAAATAATGTACAAAATAAAAGATCTGTGACAATCCATCCAATCAATAAAAAGCAAAACTGGACTGCTTCTAGAAACTAAGGAATATACAGCATATACAGCTATTAGACCCTAAGGAATATACAGAGAATACAGCTACAAAACACTAAAAGGTGGCAACAGATGTATCAAAATGTGTCTGGTTCAGCAGGGACCAGCCAAATTTCGATCCATTTGTGGCCACTGCAGTCAACTGACCTGTTGGATAAAAGCTGTTCAATCAGCTACTGCAGCTAATGGCAGCAGCTCTAATCTGTGTATCCTGACAGCAGCCATTATACGATAATGCGGTGGGGAAGATTCCCCCATCCTAATCAAATATGGGGGAAAGAACTGAACCATGTATGACCCAGCTTTAGGAATATACAGCATCCGACTCCTACTAAGCACTTCGACAAAAAGCTCAGTGCTCAATGTCAGCATAACACTTTGTAAACAATGCAAATAGAACAATCTTTTTTATGCTACTGTTCATAGAGAGCCAAGACTTCTAATAGTTCTTACATCACCCTAAAAAAAAAAAATTAACTAATTAAATTGTGCCAACCCTAGGCTAGGTTCATATTTATATTTGAAAGGTGGATCGCATTTCAAAGTGTGTCTAAGCATCACTGTCAGGCATTCAGGAGGTGATCCTACCTCCACCTGAAGGATGTTTTTTCAATGGTACTTATGCACCAGAACCATGAACCAAGTGCTTTGTTTTGCAGTTGCAAAGCTATTGACTTGAATGGGTGAGTTTGACAAGCAGTGCCACATGTTAACTTGACATGTCGCTTTAAATCTGCTGCAACCAAAACGCACAGCATCACGATATGTGAACAGCCCTATTTTGCTTATAGTAGGCTTTAGTTGTGCAGGCTCGATCACCTTTTTTACTGCCCCCCGGCCCCTTAGTAAGAGCATTTTAAGTATATCTAAACCCTAACAATGAACCACTCTAATATGCTTTCTTTTGATCTGGTAAATATAACACTGAAAATCCTTTGCAGACACAAGAACATATAAGTCACTGTTGATCCTGATAGACATCCATTAATGTCCTGTGGCCTTTGCACACTTTTGTGTCGTCTTGTCAGGAAGTACTGTATGTTGGGACTACATAACACCAACTCCTATATTATAAAGGTGAAAAGAGGGGGAGGTGTTCTGCAGTCCTAGCACACAATGTACTAGGAGGAAAACCCTGCGTATCCATGGATACAGTGCAGTGCGTGTTGTCATCTTAGGAGAGGAAGTGTATTTCTAGTAGGCCTAATAGGTGACAGCAAATGAGAAAACAAATCCTGTAAAAAAAAAGAAACAAATGCAACCACCACATTTAAGACATGGTAAGGTGTAAAATATTACATCTTTGTTCTTGAGTTTTAGATCCTATTACTAACAGCAAGCCTAACCCTTAATGATTAACTTACAATAGCCATAAATTTAAATCTAAGATCATCGCTTTTCTTCTAAAACAAATTTATGGCATAGTATTATCAACGGCAAAAATAACAATGACACTAAAAATATGTTTAGAGACTGTTATTAAAAAAATCTTTGAGCTGGAGCAACAACTCGGCATTGTGTTGTACCATGAGGCAACAGAAGTCTCCCCTACTCTGTCTAAGGTAGGCTGTGTTGTCATTTAGCATGATGCATTACAGGGAGTGGGCCCTGACACATCACTTTGCAGGGTGTCAGATACTGACTGCACATTAGCTTTTCTGGCACTGGAAGAAAAGATGATAAAAGTGCTACTGCTTTTAACAATATCCTGCTTCTTATTAGACCAGAGTTTTTAAAAACTGGTTTCACCTTTAACAGTTCAGAAAGACGAGTGAGCATGTCTGTTGTTATAGATGGGATGTCATCCACACAGGTGCAATACTCCAAAATAATTCTGATTAAAATGAGGACAGTCCTGCAACAAGAAAGTTGAAAGGTTTTTGCTTTTCAATAATAATTCAAATATTCAGAAACCTCTAGTTTGGTTGGTGTGACACTTACCCAACTACAGCATACTTCTGGCCATCCACAGTAAGAAAGTCAGTGGGCTTCCTTTCTTCTATACCTAGGCATAGATCAGAACTGTTAATCAACTTCTGGGACCACATGATGTCCCTTATAATTATAAACACAGCATTACAGCCAAGCAAGGACCAATACTGATGCTTCTGGAACTAATATACAGTACATCAGAACCGCTATACAAAATACTGGCAAAAAGAATGAAAAGTGCCTTCTTTGTGTTATGTGTATGTATGCAGATCACATACTTCACAGAGGTCGGCAGTATACAATTAATGCTCAAATACACTAAAGCCCTATTTGCATCTTAACTGCACCCATAAAATGACAAGAAAAAAACTACAATAGTTTCTCTTCAGTTGGGAATTATATAAAATTAAAGTGATAGTAAAACTTTTTTTTTTAAATAAAATTATAAACATGTTATATTCCCCTGCTCTGTGCAATGGTTTTGCACAGAGAAGCCTCAATCTTCCTTTTCTGGGGTCCCCCAGCAGCACTTCTGGCTCCTCCTCTTTGGCGAGTGCCCCTATAGAAAGCTGCTTTCCATGGGGCACTTGTGCGGGCTCGCTCCTGAGATGCTGTGTCAGCATCTATAGACACAGACAAGGTGGCTTGGTGACAGAATTTGATTGCTAATCTGCTAAGTGAGGAGAGAGAGAGCTGAGACAGCCGCTGCTCTGAGGCACAGTGCTGGATGGAAATTCTAGCTCTAAGATGTTCACCGATTTGGATACGTAAGGGTCTTTTGGTTTTTACCCACATAAAATTTTAGCTCTAAGATGTTCACCGATTCGGATACGTAAGGGTCTTTTGCTTTTTACCCACATAAAATTTCTTACATGGGTATTCAATCATGTAAAGTACCCTCTCATCCTAGTCTTTTCAACAAATGGACAAATAGAACAATGTCCACAATGGAACATTCCAGTAGTAAGCGGTGGCCAGTTAGAGGGAGAGCTTCTGGTAAATTGTAGGCACTAAACCATTTATGGTGGCCAAAAGAGCAAGCAATTTAAAAGATATCCTAGTACACTCAGAATTTACCAGAAGCTCTCCCTCTAACTGGCCACTACTTACTGCTGGAATATTCCCTTGTGGACATTGTTCTATTTGGCCATTTCTTGAAAAGACTAGAACGTTCACTGGAGCGTATCATACGAGAACATATGATATTAAGAGTTTTATTAATTGTTCGAAAGAGAGGGTACTTTACATGATTGAATGCCCATGTAAGAAAAATTTTATGTGGGAAAAACTAAAAGACCCTTATGTATCCGAATCGGTGAACATCTTTGAGCCATTAGGAGCAATAGTAACCCAAAGCAAGGGGAAAAAGTGAATCCCCTGGTGCTTCACTTTAAAGAAAAACATGCTGGCCTAATGGGGTTCTTTGCTTTAAAATTAACTGCTAGGAGAAGTGACTTTGATGAGGTACCTCTCCAGCAGGAAAAATGTTGTATTTATAAATTGGGAACTTTAGTTCCAAATGGTTTAAATAATGAGATGAACCTGGGTGTTTTTCTCTCTAAGTAGTGTCCCTATAAGGTACAATGTTTAATTGCTGTCTGACAACATAGAATATGGCGAGTTCCTAAGTAATCCCCGGGCCACATCAAATCAGTTTTTTTTTTTAGTGATGGCCTTTATGGCCCTTATGCAATGTTGGCCAAAATCCTTGGCTGTTATATAACTGTGTAGTTAATGCTTGCCGATCTGTTTTTTCCGTGTCGATATTATGCTAAAATTATCATCTTTAAATGGCTTTCAATTTTCAACTCCAGTAGTTGCCTTAATTAGAGTGAATGGTAGCAGTTGAGCTATTTTAGGGTGCCATTACGTTCCTTAAATAGCCTCGTTAGGAGGCAGAGTAAATAAATTGAGCAGTGAAGGGAGCCCTCTATTGGTCTTGATAAAGCCCATAGTCACAGTAAACGGGTGAAACGCGTCGACTGTAACTCTCCTATTAGGATGCCCCTGGTTTTTGCCTCAATGCGAAGCCATTTATAATCTCCTTGTCCTGCCAATAATAGCGGAACTTGACTGGCCTTGTCTTATATAGGTTTAATGGAGGTCTGAATCTACTTTCAATCTGCAAGGAGTGATGTGGTGTTAATGTGGAGCTAGGACGTTGGACTGTCCATGTGGTTACTGACAGCCTCGAGATGGCGTTAGCCACCTGCATCTCAAACCGTGTCAATTGCATCTCTCACTGACAAGTGGACACTGCGAGTATACTTGGATCTCGATGACATATGGGACGTAAGTGGGACTTTCACTCAGCTCTTTTTTCCCACCTCACTTCATAGAGGGTTCTTGTGAGACAAGCTATCGTGATTGGATTGTAATCTCACCACTCCAGCTATCTCCTTTGCTACTATTGTGGCTTGATGATCGCTACCTGAGGCACTTGGTCTGGCTAATACCTATCTGGATATCCATGTTGAGACTGTTTAATTAGGTCTGCCAATAGCCACGCTCCCCTATCATATTTGCTCCTGAAGGTCCACAACAACTGTATTCCAAATTCTCCAGATAGCGCTATAATCACCAGTTTGTCTTCATCATGGCTTTCCTTGTCTATTTGATGTTCTAACATGACTGCGCTTTTATGACTTATTGGCCATTTCCACACAACCTTTATGAAGGTAGCTGAACTTCTGGCTTTTTCAGATCCTTGTTTTGAAGCTCCAGGTCCTTTATGTTGCATTATTGGTTGAAGTCCATGCAATTCAAATAATTTAATTAAGATGGATTAAGATGGATACATGCATTTTTGATGTTTAGCCATATATTTATTTATACTAGGATCTGTGATTTCCCTCTATGCTATATCGTGACTCTGCCTCTATATAACCCCCAATGGTGTCACTAATGGGTTAACTGTGGCCAAGCGTCTAATGATATAATATCTTGGGTACTTGACATTGCGCATTTTTAATATCTTACTTGGGGTTTCCTAATTTTTAAAGTGACATTGTTCTCATGTTTTTAATGGTGGTGGGTGGAGACATTTTGATTTTTGTATATATACATTTGCATCATGTTTGATATGCGATTTCAATAAAGTTATTTTGTTACACTACCTGGGTCCATTAGTAGTCTTTATGGGGGGTCCTTCTCCATAAATACTTTTCCCACCTCTACACCATGCAGACCCAAACAAATTATTTAAAAGGCCAGGAAGCTTTATTCTCTTTTAGCCAAATGATTTTGGGAATGATTTTGAGAGGTTTCAGCTAAAGGAACAATCATGTTACAGAAATGTGTTATTTTTAAAGCCTTTTTTCGTTCTTAAGACTGTGGTGTCTCAGCATAAAAATCATCCATCTCTTTCCTACCATTACTCCTACTGATAACATTTACAGCAACAACATGACCTGCATGCAGAGTGTGAAGGACAACCCACATCAATAAAACACTACCCGAGAGTCACTATGTAAAGACATACCCATGAGAACAATATCTGAGATGCTGCAGCAGATATAAATATCTTGTACATGTGGGAGGCATTGGTTCTAACAGCACCACTAACGCAAAGCATAAAAACCATAGACTAGGTAGGAAGAGAGACAATTTAGTATGATGTAAGTTTTTCCTGAGTAAAATTCCTAAATTATATTTATAGTGAACCCTGTCAATATTTTATTGTATAGTTCCCCCAAAATAGATATGGTTGAAATCTGCACGTCATACAGATATATTAATATGTATAATTTTAGTAGTAATAATACATAAGAGGTCAGGGGCGTATCATGAAATCAGTGGGCCAGTGTGCAAGATCAAAAGTGGGCCATAGACATTGAGGAAAATCAAAATACGGAGTGCACAGCTCGCTGCAGAAAAAATTGGGTGTGGTTTAAATTGTGCTAAATATTGAGCGTGGCTTAAAAGGGGTGTGGTTAAATAGAGTCTGAGGTTACTTACATAGTGCAGAATGTGGTAATGTTAAATAGGGAATGTATAGTGTGGAGTGTACAGAGGTCGGTAGTATGTGCAGGGAGGGGTACAGAGTGTATAGCGGTGGGTAGTAACTGCAGTGAGAGGAGTACAGAGTATATGGCGGTGGGTAGTAACTGCAGTGAGAGGAGTACAGAGTATATGGTGGTGGGTAGTAAGTGCAGGCAGAGGGGTAAGGAGTCTATGGTGGTGGGTAGTATGAGCAGGGGGACCAGTGCAGAGGATGTGCAGGGGGACCAGTGCAGAGGATGTGCAGGGGGACCAGTGCAGAGGATGTGCAGGGGGACCAGTGCAGAGGATGTGCAGGGGGACCAGTGCAGAGGATGTGCAGGGGGACCAGTGCAGAGGATGTGCAGGGGGACCAGTGCAGAGGATGTGCAGGGGGACCAGTGCAGAGGAATTTTACTCAGGAAAAACGTACAAATCCCTGTACACAAGTCCCTCCTAACATCTTACAAAACCCCTCCAAATGATCTCCTCCCACACAGCCTGGCATTAAATACATAGAGCACTGCTAAGTTGATACACCGCTGGCCTGGATTCCTCCACCTCTCTCAGAATTAACTCCTTCAGCAGGCATCTCTCCGTTCGCGAACTTGGGCAACGAGCTTCATTCCCGCCAGCACTTGTCAGAATTGGCCAGCAGCTCTGCCTCCACCCTGTAGACATCTTTTTACAAACAGTGCTGGAGCACAGCGAGTCAGAGTGCTGAGAAAGGTGGAGGGAGGAGAATCCAGGCCGGTGGTGTGTATGCTGGTACTGGCCCTGTACATATATGTATGTATGTATGTATGTAAGTAAGTAATATTGCGTTGCACTCCTGGATGATACGCCACAGTAGGCGGTATCTAGACACATTTCAAAGAACTTGAGTCTACTTACTCAATATATACACTCACTTATTAGGTACACCTGTTCAATTGCTTGGGAACACAAATTGCTAATCAATCACATGGCAGCAACTCAATGCATTTAGGAATTCTTGCCACATTTTCCAAAAACTTGTGGCAAAAAATGACATGTTCAAAAGACTTTTATGCCTAATAGAAAATACATTGGGGTGTTTGCGTTCCAAAATGTGGTCATTTTGTGGGTGTTTTCATTGTTCTGGTGCGCCAGGGCCTTCAAAAGTGTGATAGGTAGTCGAAAACTAAATGTGTAATTTATGCCTAACTTATGTTCCTTAAAAGCCCAAAGGTGCTTCCTGGATTTTGAGCCCCTCTTTGTGACAAGGCTGTGAAGAAAAATCTTACACATGTGGTGTCCCCTTATTTAAGAGAAGTAGCAGAATGTGTTTGGGGGTATAACTGCAAGCATGCCTAAGCCATGTGTGAAAAATAAGTTGTTAAAATGACAATTTTGTGGGGAAAAAAACAAACAAACACATTTTATTAATTTCTTTTCATATTGCAAAGAATTGTGGGAAAATATTACAACTTCACCATGCCTATAACTAAATCACTCAGGGTGTCTACTTTCCATAAAAGGGGTCATTTTGTGGATATTTGTACTGTCCTGGCATTTTAGGACCTTTGGAAAGGAGACAGGCTGTCAGTACATCAGGATTGATTAATTTTTTATATACATTCACCAGCCACTTTATTATTAGGTACACCTGTTCAATTGCTTGGTAACACAAATTGCTAATCAGCCAATCACATGGGAGCATCTCAATACATTTAGGCATGTAGACGTGGTGAAGACGACTTGCTGAAGTTCAAACATAGCATCGGAATGGGGAAGAAAAAGGATATAAGTGATTTTGAACGTGGCATGGATGTTGGTGCCAGAAGGGAAGCATTCTCTGATTGCACTAAGATGTGGGTGTAACGGTACCGGACCCAGACTGCACTAGGGTATTTCCGTTAGAATACCGCTTCCCTGTCCGAACACAGATCCACGGACACCACCGCTGGCCATACAAGACGAAACAGCACCAGGGTTCATAAGACAGGAAGTGAACTGCTTTATTTTAAACACAAACACAAGATATATACACAGGGCGGGGAAAAAATACAACCAGTAACAGGAAACGCATCAGCAGGCCGTTCCATCAGGGGGATGGGCTGCCGGAAACACCCCCCACCAAACCAAGACACACAATAGAACAATGGGATACACCACCTGGCAGTAGACAATACAGGAACACATACATCCCATAATAGTTTGCTGGCAAGCAAGACACAATAGAACAATGGAACAACCACTTGGCAGTAAACAATGAACAACCCCCACACCCCACCTATACTTGTCTACACAATATTAGGACAGATCACCCTGTACCCCTAACAGGCACAGGGTGACTTACACATAATAGGAATATGGGGAGCGGAGACAGGGGTCTCCCCACCTCTCCAAAAGGGGGCTGTGTTCCATGGGCCCTCCACCCAAAGTCACTCCCGTCACAGTGGGGCAAGGATGTCACGCTCCCAACCTCATTCAATCAGAGTATGCATTGCATTCACTGGGAAAATACAAAGTATTCTCTGAATGATGATTCTGCCCCGTGGCCAACCTTCTTGTGTACACAATGCAGCAGGACAGCTGCACGGCACGGCACCTGGAAGTTAGTGGAGATCACTGTAGTAGGGGTGACTACGAGAGTGGTTTCAAGCTTCTAGAAGGATCTATCTATAGTTACATTGGACTAAGCTGGACCAATGTAACTATGTAAAAATGTGCATACCTGGACTTCTTTGAAGAGTAGTGTGTGCTAAGAACTACCAAGTCAAAAGAAGTCAAAATAAGTGTAGGCTCTTTATCCAGCCAGTGACTTAATGTTTTAATTAGCCCATGGATGCCCTAAGAGTAACATCAAAATAGCAGATACCATGCAAACAAACAATTATGGTCAGCAGTTCTGGGAACATCATCAAAATATATAAAGGCAGAATTATCTGTAAATAGTGAATTAACTAACCATACAGTGGGTAAAAATAAGTATTGAACACATGCTATTGACATGACATTTTCACCAAGTCGATAACAACCCATGCAATTTATACATACAAAGAAATCAAAACAAATAAAGTTAAAAAAAATAAGTTATGTGTAATAAAATTGGATGACACAGGGAAAAAGTACTGAACAAACGAAAAAAGGGAGGTGCAAAAAGGCATGGAAAATCAAGACACCAGCTGAAATCTATCATTAATTAGAAAGCAAACCTGTCCCTTGTCAGTGCAAATTAATCTCAGGTGGTTCAGTCTCAACTGATGGCCTATAAAACGGTGTCTCACTACCAAGGTGTCACACAAGAAACATCTCATGATGAGTAAAAGCAAAGAGCTCTCTCAAGACCTTCACAACCCTATTGTTGCAAAACATACGGATGGCATTGGTTACAGAAGTATTTCTAAACAACTGAATGTTCCAGTGAGCACTGTTGGAGCCATAATCTGAAAAAGGAAAGAACATCATTTCACCATAAACTGGCTAAGACCAGGTGCTCCTCTCAAGATTTCTGACAGAGGAGAGAAAAGAATTATCAGAAAAGTTGTCAAATGGAGAGCTTCAGAAAGACCTGGAATTAGCAGGTACAATTGTTTCCAAGAAAACAATAAGTAATGCACTCAACCACCATGGCCTGTTTGCGCACTCCACACCATGCAAGACTCCAATGCTGAAGAAAAAGTATGTTGAAGCTCGTTTAAAGTTTGCTGCACAACATTTAGACAAGCTAAAGTCTAGTCTGGTCAGATGAGACCAAAATTGAACTCTTTGGATGCCATAATACACACCATGTTTGGAAGTCAAATAGCACTGCACATCACCTTAAAAACACCATATCAACAGTGAAGTTTGGAGGTGGGAACATCATGGTGTGGGGCTGTTTTTTCGCATACACTACTGCCAAACTTCATATCAATGAAGGAAGGATGGATGGAAAAATGAACCAAGAAATTCTTGACAGCAATCAGCTGCTACCTACCAGGATGAAGAAGATGAAACGATGGTGGACATTTCAACAAGACAATGATCCCAAACACAAAGCCAAGGAAACTCTCAATTGGTTTCAAAGAAAGAAAAAAAAGCTGCTAGAATGGCCCAGTTAATCACCTGACTTGAATCCAATAGAAAATCTATGGCAACGAACTAAAGATAAGAGTTCATAGAAATGGCCCACAAAACCTTCAAGATTTGAAGACTGTGTGGAAGAATGGGCCATAATCTCACCTGAGCAATGCATGCGACTAGTTTCTCCATACAGGAGGCATCTTGAAGCTGTCATTACCAACAAAGAATTTTGTGCAAAATATTAAATACATTTCAATTTCCCATACTATCTGTCAGATTGAGGAGGGGCGCGGCGGGCGTGGCTGCGGCTATGGGAACAGGTTACATGTACCACCCTAAAAACGGTTCCAAAGGTGAACCTATCCTTTAAGTGGAGGTGTTCTGTGGTCCTCGACGTTCGCTATAAGCAATGCAACTGATCAGCGCAGGGAGTTATTACCCCACCAGAGTTCTGGCAGGATTGCCAGTGTTTTTGCACTTCTTGAACAGATAAAGTGGTAAGAAAAAGTATGTAAAGCCCTAGGAATTAACTTGTTTTCTGGAGTAATTTTCCATAAAATATGATCTGATCCTAATCTAACTTACAACAATACACATTGGGGTTCATTTACTAAAACTGGAGAGTGCAAAATTTGGTGCAGCTCTGCACAGAAACCAGCTTCCAGGTTTTCTTGCCAAAGCTTAATACAACAAGCTGAAGTTAAAAGCCGATTGGCTACCGTGCACAGTTGCACCAGATTTTGCACTCTCCTGTTTTAGTAAATCAACCCTATTGTGCTTAAGCTAATAAACACACAATCAATTCTAATTTCTTGTGCAGTTACTGAACACACCCAGCCCATTTATAGACAATTTAACTGTTGACTGATGGATGCCTAAACAATTTTAGATGAATTCATATCCCTTTCCAGCCTTATGCAGATCAACCACTCTTGAAAGCATGCCTTCAGAGAGCTCCTTTTTGCGAGGCATGGTTCACATCAGCTAATGCTTCTTATAAAACAGCAATCTTAACATGTTTGATTGTCTTTTATCAATCAAAGTAGCTCTAAACTACACCTCCAAACTAATTTATCTGAATGAAAAATAACTGATTGTACAGATTGCTGTACTATTACAAACAGTGTTAAGTACAGCGATCTTCCCTGCTGTGCTATTGTGCTCTGATGGGGGGACTGCAGACAGCGCTGATCGGAAGCCATTCTGCAGACCTTCTTCAGTCATGCCACTTTAACAGAAAACGGATGAACGTCTGCAGTACACACGGACCAAATTTCTGCTGAACCGGTTGATACCGCCCAATATTCTGTTCGCGCGTTCTTAGCTTTAGAGCTGCAACTAGAGGACAGTTATTCCAAAGAGGACAGAAAAAGCCAACTATAACTAAGTGCAGAAATGTGAAGTGTTCTCATGAGCACTTTGCCACTAATTATATTTGTTTAACTGCTAAAATTTGTAGAGTCCTCCAGGATGTTAATTGTGTAATAGATGTTACATTATTAAAACACATGGAATACCAACTCACATCCAGGCTTTCTCTCAGGTAAAATGATTTTGCCATCTGTTATAGAATCAACCAAGTCCTGAAATTCTGCAGGGACATCGGCCTGCTTCCAGCGCTCGTTATCTAGCAGAAGGCTGAGGAGAAAACAGAGTAGATTTCAGTCAGTTATCTAGTGGACCACATCCAGATTGTCAGTACGGTAGCTCTCCTGGATACACAGACTGCATAAGTAACATCTCAAGTAAACAAAAATTTCACATTATCCATGATGGTATACTAAACCAAGTCACTACAAAAACAAAGTTTGCTGTAATATCTTGCTATGAAAACTGTAGTAAATTAGACTTATGTATTATAGGGCATACGTGCAATTATTCTAATACTCTTCTAATATCTTGTGGATTATGAACTAAGAAACACCAATTAAGGAATTTAGAAATGCTCACAGTTCTCTAGATCCCTTATCAATGTATTATTCCTGTATGGAGAGCCCCACAGCCACCCTGCATAGGACCAGTCTATTTCAAGATGTTCTCAGGAGATAAGGAGCCTTCAGTTTGAATATGCAGAAGAAGCCATGCCAATTCCACATTATAGAAGCATTGGACATGAGAGTAAAGTAAATGATTAAACAGTGCAACCTCGACTATCTACTACATTAACTTAAAGGAGAACTATGGGATAGGAAAAAAAAAAACAAACAAAAAAAACACACATACCACCTTTATGGCTGCAGCATCAGTTCGATGCTGCAGCTGTCCCCCGGCTGGCTCGAAGACTGAAAACTGAGCGATCATTTACAGTGGTTCTAAAGCCTAAACATTTTTTTACCTTAATGCATTCCTTGTATTAAGGTAAAAAATGTTTAGGCACCGGTTTTGGCCCCTCCCCCTCCTTTTACTTACCCTGGCCCTCATTCGATCCAGTGCTGTGCTCATCTGCAGCTCTTTTCTCCCCTCACTTCTGCGTTTCACTAGCTTTTCTGGGGGCAACAGCAGCCATCGGCTCTCGCTGCTGTCAATCTAAGCCAGTGCCGAGGGAGCGGGCCAAGCCAGGTCCAGCTGTCTATGTCAATGGATGCAGCAGCTGGGCTCGGGAACAAGCACGCACAAACACCCCCATGGGAACCACTTCCCATGAGGGCATGGGACAGAGAGGAGGAGCCAGAAGCGCCAGTGGGGGACCCAAGAAGAGGAGGTTCGGATAGGTAAGTATAGAGATGTTTAATTTAAAAAAAAAATGCCTTTACAAATCACTTTAATTCTTGGTCTTTGCTGAGCAGAGAGCTGTGACTGTTAGTCACCAGCTCTCTGCTCACTGGAGTGCAGGGCTGTGTATGGGGTGGGAGTGGCTGGCTCAGGCTCACAGAAGCACACTGAGAGGCTGAGCCAGCTGCTGGTCAGGCATCTGAGCTGATCCTGACCTTAAAGTTGGGATACCTGCAGAGCCTGGATCAGTTCTGTGACATCAGCCGATAGTGGGAACAGCTACACATTAGATACCATAAGGATCCACATTAGCTGTGTACTGTATCAGCTTGACTCCCGAGGAATCAGGAGAGCAGGGCTCCCCAACCCTCTTGTATTGAACTGCATTGTAACGGTTTCCCTTTATTGTTTAGGGCCGGTTCACACCATGCCCACATCTGAAACATGCTGTGGGTTCCTGTGTGAATCACATGCAGTTCTGTGCAGTGCAATTTCAGCCCACTCTTTTTGAATAGGCTTAAATCGCACCACATGTAGTGCATGCAAAACTTTTTAAAAATCACTGCGACCTGCGTTAGGGGTGTCATTAACTTTTTATTGACACCTGCTGCAGATCGCAAAAGTAGTGTGTTTTGCATGCGGTTTGAATTGCACTGGAGTGCCAATGGCTCTTGCTGCTTTCAGCCAAGCCTGTGAGATAGAGGGGGGGAGAGCTACTGCAGACATGCACAGAGCTGGTTTGAGATCAGGCACAGATTAGTATTTAGGGGGGCTGTGCTGCTACTAAACTTTTTTTACTTTAATGCAAAGAATGCATTAAAGTATAAAAAACCTTTTATCTTTTTAAAACCACTTTAAATTGAAAAAAAATCTATAAGGTTGGCCATAGATATTACATTCAACTTGTACAATGTTCCTTTAGATTTTATCAAAAATATGTAAAAGTAGGACAAACCTAAACAAAACAAACTGAAATTATATTATTATACAGGATTATAAATTATAAATTATATTCAGTCAGGTGGGCCTTTACACTATACAACAGACAGTAAATTAAAAAGGAAATGGTAAAATATTTTGTCTGCTTAACCACCTCAATACTGCACACTTTCATCCTCTTGCTGCCCAGGCCAATTTTCAGCTTTCAGTGCTCTCACACTTTGAATGACAGTTACTCAGTCATTCAACACTGTACCCAAATTGCTTTATCATTCTTTTTAGAGAAATATAGCTTTCTTTTGGTGGCATTTAATCACCACTGGGTTTTTTTTTTTACTTTTTACATAAACGGAAAAAAAACCCCGAAAATTTTGAAAAACGTGCGTTATTAGTTTTGGTTATAAAATTTTGCAAATAAATAATTGTTCTTCAAAATTTAGGACAGAAATTTGAATCTACTTTTTTGGTACATATAATCCAAGTCAGTGTATATTATTTAGTGGAAAAGTTACAAGCTATGGTACACATACACTTACCGGCCACTTTATTAGGTACACCTTGCTAGTATCGGGTTGGACCCCCTTTTGCCTTCAGAACTGCCTCAATTATTCATGGCATAGACGCAACAAGGTGTAAGAAACATTCCTCCAAGATTTTGGTCCATATTGATATGATAGTATCATGTAGTTGCTGCAGATTTGTTGGCTGCACATCCATGATGCAAATCGCCCCTTCCACCACATCCCAAAGTTGCTCTATTGGATTGAGATCTGGTGACTATGGAGGCCATTGGAATACAATGAACTCATTGTCATGTTCAAGAAACCAGTTTGAGATGATTTGAGCTTTGTGACATGGTGCATTTTCCTGCTGGAAGGAGCCATCAGAAGATGGGTACACTGTAGTCATAAAGGGATAGACATGGTCAGCAACAATACTCAGGTAGGCCATGGCGTTTAAACGATGCTCAATTGGGACTAATGGACCCAAAGTGTGTTAAGAAAATATTCCCCACACCATTACACCACCACCAGCCTGAATCGTTGACAGGAGAGATTCATGCTTTCATGTTTATACCAAATTCTGAATACCATATGATTGTCGAAGCTGAAAATGAGATTCATCAGACCAGGCAACATTTTTCCAATCTTCTATTGTCCAATTTTGTTAGCCTGTTTCCTGTTCTTAGCTGCCAGGAATGGCAAGTGGTGTGGTCTTCTGCTGCTGCAGCCCATTTGCTTCAAAGTTCAACGTGTTGTACATTCAGGGATGGTATTCTGCAAACCTTTGTTGGAATGAGTGGTTATTTGAGTTACTGCTGCCATTCTATCATCTCGAACCAGTCTGCTCATTCTCCTCTGACATCAACAAGGCATTTTCGTTCACACAACTGACACTTACTGGGTATTTTCTTTTTCAGGCCATTTTCGGTAGACCCTAGAGATGGTTGTGTGTGGAAATCACAGTAGACCATCAGTTATTTAAATACTCAGGCCAGCCCGCCTGGCACCAACAGCCATGCCACGTTCAAAGTCACTTAAATCCCCTCTCTTTCCCATTCTGATGCTCGGTTTGAACTTCAGCAAGTCATCTTCACCACGTCTAGATGCCTAAATGCATTGAGTTGCTTCCATGTGATTGGCTGATTAGCAATTTGTGTTACCAAGCAACTGAAAAGGTGTACCGAATGAAGTGGCTGATGAGTGTATATAAAAAATGTATCAATCCTGATGTACTGACAGCCCATCTCCTTTCCTAAGGTCATAAAATGCCAGCACAGTACAAATACCCATAAAATGAACCCTTTTTGGAAAGTAGACATCCCGAGGGATTTAGTAAGAGGCATGAGGAATTTTTTGAAGTTGTAAAATTTTCCCACAATTCTTTGCAAAATGAAAAAAAAAAAAAAAAATAATATGATCTGAATATAAAAAAAATGCATGAATTGAAAATCCAATGCAGTGCTGGACTGTGTGTAAAAAAAACAAAAAACACAAAACAGTATCAAAGTGTAAAAATACTGTAATTGTTAACCAAAATATATTCCTTCCGTGAAACTCAGTACATCAAATGGTGGGCTTGTGTTTGTGGACTTTATAATTTGTTGATATCTGTTGTACTATAACACGTTTTCTTTTCAATAAATGTTTTTCGATATTTCAGGTAAAAAGAATAAATTGGACCACTTTTAAAGACAAAACAGAGTTACAACCATAAACAATAGTCAACAGCAGTTTTACGTGTATGGAGTATAGCTAAAGTAGGTAACGATTTAGATAGCTTGTCCAAAAAGAGGTAGAACAAACATTTTGTGTCCGGACAGTTAATTAGTGCGTAAAGAGGTTGTTTGATAATAGTTTAACGGCCGACATTAGTGAAGAAAACTATAGCAGTGGAGAGAAGCTAAATTCTAGCAAACTAGGAGGTATATAGACACCTTGTGGTTCTGGAGGTATCCCTGCGGAAAAGCCGAAAAACAGAAAACAAAAGAGAAGAGAGGGAGAGAAGAGAGGGAGAGGAAAGTGGAGAAAAGTAAGGGACGGACTATCATAACGCTTGAGTTCAGTTTGTGAGGTATGGTTGGGTTACAGTAAAGTAAAGCTATTCGCTGAAATTTCTGGGTGGGCATATTGGATCCATGGAGTCCAAGTTTTAAGGAATCTTTCATGGGTGTCTGAGAGTATATTAGCCAATTTTTCATTTATTAAAAAGACGTCAAGGTGGTGCTGAACTTCTGTGAAGGGTATGAACTGCTGTTTCCAGCCAATAGTATGTGAGTGGCCAGTTTAAATATGTGTTAGACATGACTGGAGGTTTGAAGTGTAAGACAGTATACCATGGGCCTCTCGGGAAGGGGTAAATGAGTAATGATTGAAGTAATTTGAGAAGTTTTGACCAAAATCGGGAAATCATAGGGCATGTCCACCATATGAGTAAGATATCACCCGGTGCATTACAGCCGCGAAAACAAGTGTTGGGGGGCCTGATGGGTGTAGAAAAGCTAGGCGGGACGGGACAAGATACCATCTTGTCACTGTTTTGAAGGTCGATTCCATAGTGAGGACCTTGATGGAGCATGAGGTCAAGGTTGACCATATCTGTGACCAGCATGCACGATCTTTAATGACTTTGAGATCCCTTTCCCATCTGGAGATGAAAGCGTGGTTGTTGGGGTTCTGTAGGTTAATTAATTGTGAGTACAGGATCGAGATAAGTTTAGGAGAGAGAGGTGTCCGGTGTTAAATGTGTCTGATCAAGGATAATTGTGTGGTCAGGTCTTTATTAGTGAGAATCGAAGTTGCACAATGTTTGAGCGGTAGATAGCGGAAAAGTTCCGTGGGGAGCGGGGGGCCTTGTGTTTTGTCCCTTATTTCCACCCAAGTGTAAACTGAGCGGCCTGTAAGAAATGAGTGGATACAATGGAAATTGTAGGAGGTCCACCAATGAAAACAAGAAGCGGATTAGAGGCCAGGTGGGAACAGGGGATTACCCACGAGGGGGAGTAGTGGTAAGTGGGGAGAGATAAGTCCACTGGAGTATTTTGTGGAGTCCCATATGCACAATGATTGGGCCATAAAGGGGCAAAGAGATGTGGGTCTGGATTTTGGAGGGAGCCATAAAAGCGAAGAGAGGGAGGTCAGGTAGCAAGACAGCGCTTCTAAAGTTACCCGAATGGGAGCTTGTTGTGCTGCGTACAATGAAGTTAAACGTTGTTGGCCCAGATAAAGCGTAAAATGTGATTTTGAAAAGATTTCAGGGCATAAAGGGGAATTGGGACTGGGAGAGTCTGAAATAAGTACAAAAGTTTGAGGACGACGGTCATTTTTACTGCATTTATTCTACACATCCACGAAAGGGGTTGGTGTGACTATGTGGTGAGGAGTGTTTTGAGGGAGTAGAAAGTTGAATTGTAATTGGCCTCGTATAGGGTGTAGTAAGAGTTTGTAAGGTTAATCCCCAGGTATTCTAGATGCGCGGGAGGCCAAGTAAAATGGTAGTTTTGTTTTAGTAAGTTTACGTCCGCTGCGAGGAGGGAAACCTTAAGGGCTGAAGATTTGTCTTAATTTTCTACCAGACCTGATATATTAGAAAATCTGGTTAAAATGGAGAAGAGTGTGTAAGGAGGTATCCAGTTGAGTCAGAGTTAGAAGTAGGTCATCAGCAAATGCCCTAGCTTTAAAAGTTTGGTGAGCCCTTTGATATCCAGGTTGGATCTTATGACATGGAGTAAGGGCAAAGACAAAAAGTATCGAGGAGAGGGGACATTCCTGGCGTGTTCCTCCTTGAATAGGGGTACTATAAACACTTTTTAACACATGGTTGCATTGATGCATGTGGTGGTTTGATGTACTGAGTTCAATGGAAAATATATTTTGGTTATCAGTTTTGATTCATGCATTTTTTTTGACTGAGGGAAGATTTTATTTAGCAGAAGTAGTCCCTGTTCTTTGAAGTTTCACTTTAAGATATTAGGAGGTTTGTTTGTTTTTTTATACACGATTGTTGAATTTTTTTTTTTTTTTTTTTTAGCTCAGAGGAGGGATTAGAAATATTAATGATCTGAATATAGACAGCCTTATATATAGACTTCCACTCTTTAACAAACATTCCTTTAATAAAGTGATGGATAGGCAAGTCCTGCCTTTCACTCCTGTAAATCCCTAAATTATGGGGTTGATTTACTAAAACTGGAGAGTGCAAAATCTGTTCCAGCTCTGCATAGAAACCAATCAACTTCCAGGTTTTTTTTTTTTATCAAAGCTTAACTGAACAAGCTGAAGTTAAAAGCCATTTGATTACCATGCAGAGATTTTGCACTGTTTAGTTTTAGTAGATTAACCCCATTACATCTTGAACAGTGTAGGCAAGCTAAACACCTTCAATCTGCTCCAATGTGTATATGCCCACAGTAGCCCAATCTTCTCCTTCCTCCAAACCAGATAATGGGATCTCAACGTTACCCGGCCTAACATAGGAGAAACTAAAGGTCCATACACACTGGCTTAAAAATGCTGCTTCCACAAGAGTTTTGTATTTTGCCTGGAGAAGCAGCTCAATGTTATCCTGTGTGTCCACGCACATTAGGATGTTTAGAGGCTTAGTTTAAGCTTAGCATTTTGAGGCAGTAAAAACCCCTTCTGTTATTGACTGGAGTTTTCTGGCAGAAATAACATGTTAAACACTAATAAATGCAGCTAAAAATTGTACAAGGACACTATGGGGTTTATTTACTAAAGCTGGAGAGTCCAAAATCAGACTCCCTTCTGCATAGAAACCAATCAGCTTCCAGGTTTCATTGCCAAAGCTTCATTGAACAAGCTGAGGTTAGAAGCTGATTGGTTTCTATGCAGAAGGAAGTCTGATTTTGGACTCTCCAGCTTTAGTAAATAAACCCCTATGTGTGTGTGTGTTTATTTCTGTCAAGGGAACTGCCACTTTTTTTTTTTTTTTTTTTAAACCCAGTGTGCATGGAACCCAAAGGACTTAGTCTGGTGTCCCTAGCTGAGGAACAAATTAGGATATGGAAAGCCCTAAGTGTGAGATAATATATCTGAAGGAGAAAAAGACTGAAGTCATATTATTCTGCCTAGAAGTAAAAAAAGCCTTCCACTGAAGAAGCAGTGCCTGTCTCCCCTGTGAGAGAGGGGGAACCTGGGCACTGTAGCTGGGAAACGTGAGGAAGGACATGACCTCTGATCCTGCCAGGAACATGATATATCCTTAACATAAGGCCATAGTTATGTGAGCATGAAATTAAAAGTACAGCACTTTTTTTTTTTTTTTTTAAGCACGAGCCAAACACCCTTCAAAGGAAAAACCCAATATGTACTCAAAAGGCCTAGGTTTACCACAAGCAGTGAAAATCTAGTAGCTGAGGAAGAACCAGACCTTGCTTTGTAAGACAATCCCCTTAACTTCAGCGTCCTCCTCTTTTTCAGTCATGGCTGAAATGCAGGGAGACCGGTGCTGCTGTGCAGCATGGCCAAGCACATGGCAGATAGAAGAATCAAGGCCAAATAGCACCAACTACCCCCACTTCTCCTTCCAGGGAGAACTCCTGTACGCTATCCAGAAAGAGTGGGGTTGAATTGCTGTCTAAGCCACCATTGGAAGTGTATCACCTGTGTCCAGAAACTGCATATCCTACCACTGGAGGTAACTCCGGACACTATTTTGGTTCACCCCAGTCTGCACCATACACCCACCCTACCAAACCACCGACCAGAGAGCGCCAAACTGCCCCAAAAGGCAGGCAAGATGCACTTATTTTGTTCCCCAGGCCACTGTCCATAGGCAGGGGATACATGCAAGCACAGCTAGCAAGGCAGTAGGCACTGATTTAACCCCAACACTTCTTAGGGGCACAAGGTCCAGCTTAGCAAAAAAAAGGAAACCCTATGCCTAGGTGGGGATTCCTTCCTTTTTTGGCCAGTGCCCATTCACCTGAAGGTGGCAACATAACCCAAGTAGTCATGGATATAAATATACTCCTGTGATGAGTAAGAAAACAAACATTGCCCAAACAATTTGTTAAAATTCTTAACACAGCACAGTTTACAACTTTAAAAGCCACTAGCTGCTGCTAGCTCAGTACGGCTTCCCTGACCTTCCTGTCTTCATATAAAGAAAAGTTAACAGTGGACAGCGCTCTCTCCAGTCAAACTGTTAGCTTAGAGAAGGTAGGTGAGAGGAGTAGGGAGGAGCAGGGGAGTGCCTTGCCATCCTAGGCTACAGGATGTGTGTTTCTATTGATGCACACAGTATAGCAAGAATTCAGGGGCGGACTGACAACTCATGGGGCCCCCGGGCAATAGGGGATCATGGGGCCGTGTCCTTGCCCAAACTCAAAAAAGCCTATGAAAAAGGTACCAGGGGCATCTCATGGGGCCCCCTACTGACCCCGGGTCCTCGGGCAGTGCCCGAGTTTCCAAATGGTCAGTCCGCCCCTAAGCAAGATACCACAGTCTCTGCATGCAATGGTGGCTCCAAAAAATGCTGCAAAAGAAAGAAGACACCCTAAAACAAGAAACCAGGGGCAGAGGTCGAGGTACCAACTTAAACTGGAATACAGGCAAGAATTACAAGATAAAGAAGCAGCGTACTCAGCAAGTGATTAAATCAGCCACTAAAAACAAAGTGTTTGATATCAACCAGCGGGTTGAAGGAAAAAAAAAAAAAAAAAAATGAATCCATTCCCCTATCTACACATTTGACGAGGATATGCTATGCTGTTGTTCTCTGATAGCGATACGACTTCTCCACCGTCAGAATACAGTGATTAGTGCTACCAGCTATAGCCAGCAGTGCAGATCGAACAAGGAAAATCCGACGGGCAGTTGTACAAAAGTCAAATGATCGATTGACTTCTGTACAACCTCCTTGCCCCTATATGGAGTGAAATTAGTCCAGTCTATGCTGAACCAGCAGAAGTTTCATTCTCAGTCTTATCTCCATACCTTTAGGGAATTGATTTCCCTTCAGGAAGATCAATGGCCCTGGACCTTTATAGCACCTTGCCAGCAAGGTCATGGCTGCACTGTACCCCAGAGAACTCTTCACAAAAAATATAGCACCAACTGGCAACATTACAGGCTGTCCACACTCTTGTCTGCAGGGTATGGATACAGGCCCTCTTGCTCATTAAGGCCATAGGTACTGATTCGAATAAAGCCCTCCACTACCCAAGCAGGGGTGTTAGGAGGGGCCAGGAAATCAAGAATTAGATATAACAAGGAAATCTTAAGAGACATGTGTAGCCTTACCTCAGTTTTGTCTTCCTCTCCTCATGGAACCGGTTGACAAATCTGTTTGCTTGACTCTGAAGAGCCCCTCGTAATGACATACTTCTTCTGCCACAGACCTTCTCTGTATCCTGCACAAATACTTCAACCGCCCGTGACAAGGATACGAACTCTGAGGAATTCAGCTTTTCCAAAAAACCGTCCTATTGTGAAAAAAAAAATAAAAAAAATAGACAAACTACCAATATTAGTTGGAAATGTATTTTTTTGGTTTTTGCAGGCACATACTAGAAATTACAGTTATCCTTGAATGCAGGTGCCGATACATTGCAGCACACTTGCGGGCACCAAATCGCATGGCACTGCCACAGGCGTGGCGACACATCCATTGGATTGCCAGAGAAGTGTGATTCGTCACTCCAGAGAGAACGGCACCACTGCTCTAGAGTCCAGTGGCAGCATGCTTTACACCACTGCATCCGACACTTTGCATTGCACTTGGTGATGTAAGGCTTGGATGCAGCTGCTTGGCCATGGAAACCCATTCCATGAAGCTCTCTACACACTGTTGTGCAAATCTGATGGCCAAACGAAGTTTGGAGGCCATTTCCCATAGGAATGTACTGAAAACCAATTAATCCGTTCCGGAGGTAAGAAAAAAGTAAACGCTACTAAAATACCGCATGAGTTATTTTATCAAGTCATGTGGTATTTTAGTGGTGAAAACCATGTGTTAATGTTTCAGCTGTCAGCGGGGCTCCCCACTGACAGCTGAATGTAAAAGAATTGCCCCACATGGGGTGGGGTCACATGAATGATGTCCCCGGGTGGCCCTGGCCCTTACATATTTATGAACTGTCAAGCCAGCTCAGAGGCAGAGAGCTGCAGCCATCGTCGGGAACGGAACTTTTTTCTTTTTTCAGGTCGGCGGCAGACATTGTGATTGATGTTGGATCTACTGCGGGGGACATTCTTTTATTTTTTTCTTTTAATAAAAGGACTTGTCAAAGACCATGTCCTGTCTTTTTTCACACTACACATTTTGTTTTTTGGTATGGATGGGAAGGGGGACCCCACGCCGTTTTTTTTTTTTAAAATTTATTATGGTGCTGGTTTTTAAATGTAATTACCGCTTTTTTTTTTCCTTCACTATAGCTCAGAAATTCAGCTGTCACTTTCCCCCCAGCTAAAAAAGAGAACGTTTTCTTTTAGTTTATTTCCCCAAGTTAAAAGAAACAATGTTTCCTTTTAATTTCTTAAAAGAAACAGTTTCCTTTAACTCTGGGGAAAGTGACAGCTAATCCTGTGAGCTATAGCGAAGAAAAAAATGAAAAAGCCAGCAATTGCATTTAAAAATTAGCACTGACACACACTTCGTATTGCGAAAAAAAAAATTGTAAAACATTTGTAAACCGAGGCATTATTTTCAATGGATTTTCATTCGTAAACCGAAAATTACGTTAACCGAGGCATTAGTAAACCGAGGTACCACTGTACTTTTGGCAATATAGTGTATGTGCAGGTAGTGAGGTTTTTCTTTGGCAAAATTTTCATTGCCCCAGGGTTATCCCAAGGACAACCAGGGGCATATTTACCACAAGTCAAACAACGCACTTGCCTAGGGTGGCATTTTTTTTTTAGGGGGGCAGCACCTCCTCCCAGAAGAAGGGATGAAAGAATGGACATGCGCACCATGGGAACCAGGTGGGATCCAAGAGAGGCTGCGGGCTGCTTAATGGTGTATGTAGAGCCTGACTCTTGTTCCCGGGGATGTCTGGAGCTATGAAGATGAGTGTCTCTCTCTATCACTGGGGAAGGGGGGGCAGACGATTTTTGTGTTGCCTAGGGCAGCACAAAACCTAAATACACCACTGAGGACAACACAACATCATATAAAACTCTGGGAGCTTTGTACACCCACCAAAAATTGTGGTGATACACATAGTCTAACACAAGCCGCTTTATTTTATGCCGGTATATTGTTACCTATGCTTACTAACAAACCTGTGTAACAATGATGTATACTCTTGTAAAATCTATTATTATTATACAGTATTTATAAAGCGCCAATAGTTCACTCAGCGCTGTACATTACGAAGGGGGACAGAACATGTGACAGAACAATACCAATACAATGCAAAACATGAGGGGATTGAGGGCCCTGCTCTTTTGAGCTTACAATCTATTACAAGGCAAAGTCTGTGTATGCAGTGTTTGTGGACTAGCAAATCTTTCTAACAAAGCCATCATAAAAAACTGGATGTTTATGAATTACCTTGGCTCTTGCCAGCAGGAATTTAACGCAACGGTCATGGCAAATGTCAGAGGCATTGTATAGCAGCTCCTGAATATTGTTAGCAACTCTACCGAGTTCTAGGTCTGTTAATTTCATGTCCTCAGTCATTCTTAAAAAGAAAAACAGACAAAAGCAACAAGATAAGCTCTCCAGTTATTACAAAACATCAAGAACTTAATACGACTGCTAAAGCACAAAGAACAAAAATGCAAATGAGCATGATTAATCTTGGATGCTCATGAAGTAGCACAGAGACCAGAGCAGGCAGTGGTGGAGGTTTCAGGAGAAAACCATCTAGTGTTGTGATAAAGGACACCATGAATTATTCAATTACACAGCAAACATCCATTCCTTTGGAACAACATAAGGTATATACAGTAAATACAAACCAAATATCACAAAACTATTATCAAGTTTACAGTCAATTACCAAGTTTTAGTCACCTAGGATATATTCTAATTAAGGGAAGTTGAAGAGTTTCTATCAGTCCACCAAAAACTAAATCACCTGTCAATTTGTTTTAGAAACTTCAATGAAAAGATCTCTCCACCAGAATTTACAGCTCCGAACAATGTGGAATCTCATTCCTCTTGTAGCAAGAAGAGGGAGTGGGAAAACACAGGTGTGCTTTAAAGCAGAACTTTAGGTCCAAAAATAAAAAAATGATGAACAAGCAGGAATTTTAATGCAGAAGAGACATGCTTTGTCTCTTCTGCATTAAAGTTACTTACCTGCCTGTCCGCTCTTGTACAGTGAGCCGCAGCTACAAGTACAAGTGAAAAATCCCTCTGCGCTCCACAGATACAAAAAGAATTATAATACCGGTGCCAGCTGCTATCACCTATTCCCTATACCACAGAAAAAATATCCTCAAAAAATCAAAATAGTGAAGCGGTATGCTTGGAAATAATCATAAACAGACAGTGTGATAATAAAGTGCAATAAAGGAATAAATAGATAAATAAATAGCAAAAAATTATATATTGCTGATAATCCCTCACTATTGATAATGTGCAAGAACTGCTGTTCCCAATTCCATAAATAACATACCACTCACAGAACTGACCAGACTAAGGTCCCCATACCTCAGACCAGATAAAAAATAGAAAATAAAGTGATATAAATATATCGTAAAAATAAATTAAATTGTGATATAAACAAGTGCAATATAAAATAAATAAATAATACAGAGGTAGTCAATGAATATGATATCACAGTGATAAAGTGTTGATAAACCCACACTTGTGATAATGTGCAAACACTTATCAAATATATATCTGATATGCCAATCAGACGGCTAACCAGACCAACATACAGGATAACCCAGTGATGTGTCACTAAATCTAATCCAAAACCAAGTGACAAGTGCTCAAAATATACAACATAAATATATTCACAGAAATGCAGTCCACAATAAAGTGCAAGCCAGTGTGTGCAAATAATATTGGTGTGAAAAATTGCAAATAAAGTGCTTCACTTCTCCACTCCAAGCTTGATATGTGCTTTGGTGACACTCTAGTGTATCTATCCTTAAGTGGCTAGAGTGCCTCCTCACCTCCTTAACATGACCCCTAGGGGCCACAGCTCATTTGGTTATCAGATGTTCCACACCATGAGGGATCTCAAACACCTGGCTCCACTGACAGAACTGGTTCTCCTCTTTCAATGTGGTCAGCGTGGTAGAACTCAGACATTTGTACAGGTACAGACCAGCAGTTTCCCATGTGCTATGGGTGTACTGTGGGACACTGAGTGTATAAAGATGGCATGAACCGGAAGTCCGTCAACCAGAAATGCGTCACCGCGCTCCAACCGGAAATACGTCACCGTGCTCTACGCGTTACTCCACGATAATCACGTGGTTTCCTCAGGATATTATTTGCACACACTGGCTTGCACTTTATTGTGGACTGCATTTCTGTGAATATATTTATGTTGTATATTTTGAGCACTTGTCACTTGGTTTTGGATTAGATTTAGTGACACATCACTGGGTTATACTGTATGTTGGTCTGGTTAGCCGTCTGATTGGCATATCAGATATATATTTGATGAGTGTTTGCACATTATCACAAGTGTGGGTTTATCAACACTATATCACTGTGATAACATATTCATTCACTACCTCTGTATTATTTATTTATTTTATATTGCACTTGTTTATATCACGATTTCATTTATTTTTACAATATATTTATATGACTTATTTTCTATTTTTATCTGATCTGGTCTGAGGTATGGGGACCTTAGTTTGGTCAGTTCTGTGAGTGATACGTTATTTATGGAATTGGGAACAGCAGTTTTTGCACATTATCAATAGTGTGGGATTATCAGCAATATATCATTTTTTGCTATTTATCTATTTATTGCACTTTATTATCACACTGTCTGTTTATGATTATTTCCAAGCATAGCGCTTCACCATTTTGATTTTTTATCACTTACAAATTAGCAATGCTGAATCTGACTGAACTGCTGCGAAAGTGTAGGAGTGATCCTCTGAGAAAAAGGCTCTTCACCCGGGTTACCACCCCACCGTTAACTATTGTTAACCACGGTTTTTTTATGCTTATGATTACTTCACACATGTGAGTGTTTCTACATTTAGACTTGAATTAAAAGATTGCACTTAGAGGCGCTTCTCTCCTTTTTCTCATCTACAGAAGTTGCTACAGCTTATTTGGAAGCCTTGCCCTCAGTGCCACACGGAATCCTACGCTCTTCATACAGTAGCCACTAATACCACCATCACCTATACTACCATTTCCCAGGACTTTGCAGTGTTTGCGCTGTTACAACCCTTCCTCATTTTTTCTGAATCGTGATGTCATCCTCTGCCTGGCCAATGACAGCAGCAAGGTGGGGAGCTCTGGGTCGGCATATCGCTGGAATTTAGGTGCGTATAATTCCGCTTTAAAGTGCCAGTGTACCTGATGTGAAGTTTCAGCTTTTGGTAAACACTATAGCGTTAAACATGGAAAATTATCATATATACTTTGAGGATTGTAATGGTAAAACATCTGTGCCAGAGTTATTGGGTCTGTACACCTGCTGCGGACACTTCAAGGGGCTCAAACTCTTCTTGTTGAATTTTGCTTTATATTATATTGAATGTACCAGAAGGTGCTGGAACAAGAAAAATGTAATTGGGAACAATCACTGCAGGAGTAACCAATATATACTCTATAAGCAGGCGCTGATTCAACCCATCAGTTTCAACTAAATAATAAATATCTAATAATAAACAATAAAATATTACACTTAGGGAATAACCTCAAACTTGAACGAAAATCCAAATCTGTCTCTCTCAACACACCTCCCAAAAAGCTCTCAGTTATAAGAAGCGTCCTCTGGTATACATGAACATAGAGCTAAATGAATATCCATTTCACAGGATCTTCACACAGCTTTCACCTATCCCTAAAGGCTAATAAACTGAGATCTGTAGAACAAAGAGTCAAGGTAAAAAGTGAGCCCAGAGGGATATTTTCATTTGCCGTAGATTATGGTGGAACAATCATCCAACTACCATAGCTTTTACAAAAGGACCTCAGTCCCCAGTTCTTTTTTTCTATCATGTATATCAATATATATTGGAAGTAGTCATAAACATAAGAAAAGGGAAGTATGGCAGATCTCATGGTTGGAGCTCCCAAGAGATAGAAAAGTAGTTGTCAATACAATTTTCTGGCATCCATAGCAGATGCATTTGTCCAGGAAGGATGACGCTCCAGAGTTTCTTTAGGCAACATTGCAAGCTTGCAAAATCAATATCAGATGAGGACTGACCACAGATTCTGAAGTACTTACGGTGTATTCTGTGGCATGCCAAACATCAATGTTCTGAAATGCTACCCTGCAAACTTATTCCAGGTCAGGAACTCAGAAATACTGAAACCATAGCCTTCTCCTCCTGCAAGTGGCACTATAAACCCATGGGTTTATAGCTTCTGTATCACTGGCTGTGTCACTCAGCGAACCATAGAGAAAGTACTGAAACCACTAGATCAGAGTTGGCATGTTCCAAATAAAAAGGCGATAACAGCCTTCATATTTCATCAATATAGGTTTTCTTTAAAATACAGAAGACCTATAAGACTACTTCTGCAAGTAAAAGTACAAAACTGTGACAACAGATACAGAGGTAGCATTAACTGTGAAACATTATTCAAAAGTTTAACAATTTATCAATCGTTCGGAAGAAAATGTCAGTCACATATTCAGCATCAAGCAGTAGAAAGGGTAACAATGCAGTCACATCAGGCAGTGTTAGCGGGGGCTGCCCTAAGACACAGATGCATTTATTAATAATTCTACAGACACACCTTTCTAAATATTGCTTAGCATTATGATTATCAGCACGAGTTTCACAAGGTATGTTCTACAAATTCTAGTTTTACTCACATTATTTCTACTCCCCCTGGGGTAACTGAAGGCAATGTGTGATCTTTGCTGGAAGAGGAGTCAGTAGTGCATTCAGGATCAGACACAGAATCGCTGCCAGAAGGCTCGCTACTGCTGGGTGATGCATTCCTCTGAAAGTTAGTGTTGGTAGCAGTATGGTGAAGCTCACCTTCTCTGAACGCATCACTTATAAACAAGCCTTCATGAGTCAAGTAAGCCACATCTGTGTCCATATTGCTTTCTCTGTTCAGGACTTTCTGAACTGCCATTACCTCCATTTCTCTGATCCGCTGATTCTTGTCTAATACCATGAGGACAACACTGCGGATAACGTTCAATGTAGCCTGGGGGAGGTACAGAAATTTGGTTACATGAATGCATTGTACAAACAGCATATGCACATGGAATCAGTTGAAAGGTAAACATGTGTTACCATTTCACAAATAGAACAAAAACAGAAAAGAAGGTGCACCAGCTTCGAGCATTGCCATAAAATTGATTTTACATGTAAGCATGTAGAAAAAAAAAATCTAATTTCTTGGAGTAAAATCATGGGACACAGAACAGGCTATAATCATGACTATGTGGGGTATTATGCCACCTATACGTAAATAGTACTGGCAGACCAATCAGAGAGGAAGTCCTCCCCTATATAATTCCTCCTACACAGGAAGTACTTCAGTTTTGTAGCAAACAGTGAAATTCCAGAAAGAGGAGAGGGACCTCTGTGTTCCGGGATGTAATCCAAGAAATTGATTTTACAAGTATGTAGAAATAAAATCCAATTTTTTTTATCGTACATCACAGGACATAGAGCAGGCTATAATCACGACTATGTGGGATGTCCTAAAGCAATAAAAAAAAATCCAGGGTGAGTGACTCCATAAGCTGCAGCCAAAGGCAGAATCATCCATGTCTCTGACAACCACCTGGTAAGACCTTGTGAAATGTATGAATTGAAGACCATGTCACGGCCTTGCAAACCTGAGCAACTGACACCTGGTGGCGGATAGCCCAAGATGCCTTCACACTCTTGATTGTGCCCCTAAAGGGTGGGACCTTACTCGTCAACCCATAGGTTTAAGCGATTAACTGGCGGATCCAATGAGAAAAAGTTGCTTTGGATGCCGCCTGCCCTTTCCCGGGCCGTTCAGGCAGAACAAAGAATTCGCCTTTCTGAATGGGCCATCAAGAAGACTCTAACAGCCGGTATTACATCCAAGGCATACAAAGATCTTTCTCTTGCTGACTGAGGCCTAGGAAAAAAAGAAGGCAGTACAATGATTTAAATAAAAACTAGAAACCACATTTGACAAAAAAGACGGATGAGGCCGCAACCCCACCTTATCCTGATGCAAAACAAAAACAGTTCTCTGCAAGAAAGAGCTGCCAGCTCTGACACCCTTCATGCAGAAGTGGATGCTACCAAAAATGGCATATCCCTAATAGGTTCAAATGGTGGTTTCTGTAATGCTACCAAGACCAAGTTCACCACCACCAATCAGTTGCCAGGAACATGCAAAGCAACAGAAGCCAGTTAAGCACTCCCCCTAGTGGCCAAAATAAAATTCACAGGCAATGAGTAGAATGGAACTGAACTTTTCCCCTGGTGGCCATTGCAGGCATTACCATAAAAAAACTTTTTCCTCCAGAAAAAAAAGCAGGTAATCTTACCAATCCCGCAGCAGGCCCCATAGCTCAGCCAGGGACCAACCTTCACTCATCATGGCAGGCCTTGTCATGCAGACATTCACCCTCCCGAACTGGGGCCATCAGCCTGGACCTGTACACCACCCCGCCAGAAAACATCCTGGTCAGTCATCTACTGCACAAGGTTCCATTACGCAGGGTCCAGCAGTGTAAGGCTGCACTACAGGCAAAACTCAGAGGATTCTTCTCCTTATCCAGCAAGGCTTTGGGTACCATCCATTTTGGCTAAAAGCTTTTTTTTCGAATGGATCTGAATGAAGTCCCTGATTTTTACACAGAACCGTCCTGGACTTCCTAGGTATGCTCCAAGAGCACATGCAACAAATCAGTGACCATCCACCTTACACACACTGGCGAAAAAACTGAAGTACTTGCTGTTTAGGACAGGTTATATAGAGAGGGACTTCCTCTCTGATTGGTTAGCCAGTGTCCATTCACCTATAGGAGGCATATAACCCATATAGTCATAATTATAGCCTGCTCTGTGTCCCATGATGTACGACAAAGAAAATGATTGAGAGAAAAAAATAAAACCAATATATTCACAAAAGAAAATATCTACAGGGACATAACATCCATCCAGTAGAGGTATTCAGATGATGCCTAACAACAGACAGTGAGGCTTATGCATTTAAAAGGCAGTTACCTCTTCATCAAAGTTAGCTGAGTCAAACTAAACACAATGAATATATAGTACTCCAGGAAAGGAGAACTAACAAAAAGAATTGCCTCGCAGGGCACATTGAATTAACTCCTGTGAAGCAGCAAGCTAATCCAAGTGTCAAAACATAACCAAAGGTCCTAAAAAAAAAAAAAAAAAAAAAAAAAAATAGCTGTAGCACACTAATACCTCCACTGGGAATGCTTCTCATAGGTTCCACTAGAGACATCTATTACACATATGCATAATAAGAAACCTGAAAAAAACTACCATCTAAAAAATTAGAATCAGCCAGAGTGCGAAAATCACTTCATCACTAACAACATACTCATGGTCCTTCGGTAGTGTGAGATCTCCACTCATTCTCCAACACAGAGCAAATTGCAACACATGTTATAACGAGCTTAACCCAACACTTGCCATGCTGACATGCATGCCAGCAAACAGGGGTGGTGCTGAGTGGCTCATTAGACTGTACAAGAATCCTACTGCATACGCCTTGAAACCTGGCTCAGGCTGAAAGCAGATTAGATAGACCAAGACATAATGTGTGCTGGATATCTTGGCCATGACTGTATTTTTGGCCATGACGGTATAGTTACAGTGCCTTGAAACCCCTACCCCTTGAAATGTACCGCAGTTTGTCATGTTACAACCAAACATATAAATTTATTTATTGGGGATTTTATGTGATAGACCAACACAATGGCTTCTCAAAAACTGCAAACGGGACTTCTTATGGCTGTCTTTCAACAATGGCTTTCTTCTTGCCACTCTTCCATAAAGGCCAGATTTGTGGAGTGCATGACTAATAGTTGTCCTGTGGACAGATTCTCCCGCCTGAGCTGTGGATTTCTGCAGCTCCTCCAGAGTTACCATGGGCCTGTTGGCTGCTTCTCTGACGGCCATGTCTTGGTAGGTTTCCAGTTGTGCCATACTCTTTCCATTTTTGGATGACGGATTGAATAGTGCTCCATGAGATGGAGTTCCTTGGCCTCCACGATGCTGTTTGTTTACTAATGTGTTCTCTAACAAACCTCTGAGGGCTTCACAGAACAGCTGTATGTACACTGAGATTAAATTACACACACTAGATTTTAGTTAGGGGTATCAGAGTAAAGGGGGCTGAATACAAATGCATACCACACTTATCAGATATTTATTTGTAAAAATTTTTAAAAACCATTTATCATTTTCTTTCCACTTCACAATTATGTGCCACTTTGTGTTGGTCTATCACATAAAATACATTTATGTTTTTGGTTGTAACATGACAAAATGTGGAAAATTTCAAGGGGTATGAATACCTTTTCAAGGCAGTGTATCCATAGATATACTTTAAAAATGAAAATAAATAGAAACCACACGCGGTCAACTATGATATGATGCATTCCCAATAGGGGCATTAGTGTGCTCTTTTGAAGACATTTAGTCATGTCTTTGATTTGGCTTGCTCTTTCACATGGGTTAACGCAGTGTGGCCTGGCCCTGCCTCACTTGGGTGGGAGGTAGTGCTTGTTCTCAGCTCTCATTGCCAGGAGTACTATATATTCACTGTGTTTAGTGTGCCTCGGTTAGCCCTGATGAAGAGGGTACTGTCCTTGATTTACCACTTTCACTTTTTTTTTTTTTTTTTCAATTTTGTTATGTTGCAGCATGATACTACAGCTGTTTAAATTCAATTATTTTTAAATCTACACTCATTACCCCATAGTGACAAAGTGAAAACAGAATTTTAGAAATGTTTGCAAATGTATGAAAAAGGAAAAAAGTGAAATATGACATTGGCATAAACAATCAGACCCTTTCCAACAAAACTCGAAATTTAGCTCAGGTGCCTCCCATTTCTCTTCATTATTGCTGAAATGTTTCTACACCTTCACTGCAGTCCACCTCTGTTAAATTAAATTGATTGGACATGATTTGTAAAAGCACACACCTCTCTATAAAAAGGCCTCACAGCTGTAGATGCATACTGTATCAGAGCAAAAGCCATGAGGTCAAAAAGGAACTGCCTGCAGAACTCAGAGACAGGATTACTGCAATGCACAGATCTGGGGAAGGCTACAAAATTCTGCTGCACTGAAGTTCCCAAGAGCACAGTGGCGTCCATAATTCTGAAATGGAAGAAGTTTGCACACCAGGACTCTTCCAAGAGCTGGTCGCCTGGCCAAACTAAGCAAGTGGGGGAGAAGGGCCTTAGTAAGAGAAGTGACCAAAAACCCAATTGTCACTCTACCCCATCTCTATACAGGATCTCTGGAGCTTAGTCAAAGTTCCAAAATGACAACAATCACTGCAGCCCTCCACCAATCTGGGCTTTATGGCAGAGTGGCTAGATGGAAGCCTCTACTCATTTTGCAAAAAAGCACTTGAAGGACTCTCAGACTGTGAGGAAAAAGATTCTCTGGTCTGATGAAACCAAGATTGGATTGTTTGGCCTCAATTATGTCTGGAGGAAACCAGGCACCGCTCATCACCTGCCCAATACCATCCCAATAATAAAGCATGGTGGTGGCAGCATCATGCTGTAGGGATGGTTTTCAGCAGCAGGGACTGGGAGACTAGTCATGGTTGAGGGAAGGCTGAATGGAGCAAATTACAGAGATATCCTCAATGAAAACTTGTTCGACAGTGCTCAGGACTGGGCTGAAGGTTCACCTTCCCAACATGACAACGATCATAAGCACACAACCAAGACAACACAGGAGTGGTCTAGGGACAACTCTGTGAATGTCCTAGAGTGGCTCAGCCAGAGTCTGAACTTAAACCTTATTGAACATCTCTGGTAAGACCTGAAAATGGCTGTCCATCAACAGTCTCCATCCAACAAGACTAAGCTTGAGAGGATTTACAAAGAAGAATGGCAAAAAATTCCCTAATCCAGGTGTGCAATGCTTGCCGCGTCTTACCCAAAAAGACTCCAGGTTGTAATTGCTGCCAAAGGTGCTTCAACAAATTACTGAGTAAAGGGTCTGAATACTTAAGTACTTGGGATATTTCAGTTTTCTCTTTTTATTAAAATCAGATATTTCTATAATTCTGTTTTCGCTTTGTGATTACGGGGTACACAGTGTAGATTAATCAGAAAAAAATTCATTTAAACTCTAGTACAGCTGAAACAACTAATCGACAATCAATTATAAATCGATTATGAAAATAGTTGTCAACTATTTTTATAATCGATTAGTTGGTCAGCCGATTATTTGGCCTGCATACAGAATGCAGTATTTGTTTACAGTGCAGCACACATACAGCTCAGTACACCGTTCATACGTGTCAGTAAGTGCCTGAGAGCTTGTGAATGTTTGAAGTGTAATGTCTCCTTGGACTTGTAGTTCTAGGAAGCTGAAGGAAGTGAGTGATTCTAAGTCAGAAGTTTTTTTAGTTTTTTTTAACTTGCTATAGAGGTACTTTGTACAAGTGTCTGTCAACCTTTTTGCAGTCAAGGCACCCTTTAAAATTATGGACAGTCTTAAAGTTCTAACCAGATGGTATTATACCCCGTCAAGACTACATGTACTGTTTCCACAAACGTCCCCTCTATGTTTTCGGGGCAGTGACTGCACGGGTACTTTGGTTCATATATTTTGGGATTGCCCGACCATATCTTTGATCTGGCGTAGGATTTCTGAGGTCGCTGCCTTATTGTCGGGTGCCCCGAAACGATTGTCCATGCAGACCTGTTTATTGGGGGCCCATATCCCAGGGGTCTCTGATGCCAATCTGAGATTGATGCACACATTATGTATTGCCACTTTATGGTCTATTGCTCTACATTGGAGGTCCAATGTTGTACCCTTGGACTCCGTTTTAACACTCAGAATTGACACTGTAATGCTTATGGAACGCATTCATTATACCCTACTGGATAAGATGCACTTATACGATAAAAAATGGGAGTCATGGAGAGATTGCAGACACTTATTACATGCTTAATAACATCCCCAGTAAAAGTTGGCTGGCATGTACTATTGACAGGTGTATCACCTAACCTACTTTGTCGTTTACGTACTTCATGCACTTGTAACTTCCTCTTTTTTTTCTTATCTTCTTTGTTATGTTAATATACCTTTATGTATTGTACTTTTCAAAAGTGCCTTGTTTTTGCTGACAATATCACTTTTAAAGTGTGCTGTTGTTCTACTGTCTACTCATGTACAATAAAATCGTTTGTAAACAAAAAAAAAAATTATGGACAGTCCTGAAACACCCTTTAATATTATGGACAGTCTTGAGGCACCCCATTCTAAAATATAAAAACCTATTCTAATAGTTTTATATAACACAGAACATCCACTTATGTAGGACACCCAATGTTTCAGGCGATTTATTCTTCTAAAGCAAATACACTTTTGCACACTTGTACTCGTATTCCACGGTTTCTCTTATCCCTCAGTTTTTTTTTCCATTACTGAGCTAATGTGACCCCAGCACTGATGGAGAGGGGCAGGGGAGGGTCAAAGAAGAATGCTATGTAGGCAATCAACATCCTTCTTATCAACTGATGATGTCATTGGTTGTCAGGATGCCAGCAACTGGATGGTCATAATGGTGCACATTGAAAACCTGTGGCTTTGTGTAACAAAAAAGCAGGCTTGTTCCACCCGCTGGCTAGCATACAATTTTTGGGCAATTTTTAGACATTTTGCCAAGGCACCCTTGGAAGAAACCTCGAGGCACCCCTGGGCACCCTGGTTGAAAAAAAGCTGCTTTATACTATACTTTGTAGCTGGCTATAGGGGCATTCTGAAGGCAGGGGAAGCCAGAAGTGCCAGTGGGAGACTCCAGAAGAGGAGAATCAGAGCTGCTCTGTGCAAAACCATTGCTCAGAGCAGGTAAATATGACAAGTGTGTAGTTAAACAAAATGCCAAGGTTCACAATCACTTTAAGGGCTCTGTGAAGAGAAGATCAGCATCTGAACCCAGAGAAGCTGGTAGACTGGTGGCAATACAAGTCATTACAATTAAATATAAACCAAAAGGTTAGCAGTATTGTCTATATTCTATTACAAATTATTATATCCATGCAAAAAAGTCTCAGCATTTAGTACTTCTGTAATATAAAAGATTTATATCCCCCTCCTCCACCCTCCTTATATAATTTTACTTTTGCTGTTTCCCAGTATAAATTAACCCCTTATAGTTGTGATTTGCAGTTTTTTTACTATAAAAGGGCTACATTTTGTTTTTTTTGACCCAGTCATGACAGGTGATTAAAAAAAAGCATGCTGCTGCCAGCCATGTATTATGCCAGCCATACATGTATCCATTTCTGGACGATAGTATTAAAGAACTCTTTGTACATTCGATGAATGGACCAATGTCATTTGAAAAAGTTACTTGCTTTCAACATTCAGTTTTAAAAGAAATGTAAACTTCTGAATGAAAATCCACATATCCTGTCTGAAAATCCATTTGATCGAGAAAAGTTTTCTATTCTACTCCTTCAAATTTTCCCATCACTGTGGTAAAAAACAGAAGTCAATTTGACCCCACTAACCATTTTAAGAATGTTTGTTCTATTTTTTAATAAACATTTTTGCAGGAAAAATTTATTTGTGCATGGCCAGCATAAGTGACAGCAGGCGCAGGTAGCTTGTGTCAAGCTACCTGCCTATGACAAGAGAATCTGTCATCCATAATATTATATTAAAATCCTATCAAAAAATCTAAACAGTGTTTTAGGTCTTTTTACATGTTTTTCCTCTTTAAATGAAAATTTTGTTCCCGGATGCTGATGATCTGTACCAGATTCAACCTTGAACAGTATATATAGACAAAAATATGGAAACACTACATGGATTTGCAGGTGTGAAAGGAAGACATGTTTTGTGGTGAAAGCGATGTAACATTCTTTTGCTTCTGCTGTATGATGAGACACCTAGCTAACAGGTGCGAAGCTTCACTTTTTTCATTCACTGCATGTGCTGCCAATAAAATGGAGCCACTTCAGAGCTTACTGAGCTTCAAATTGTTGGTGCTGCTTAGCTGATGCCTCTGACTGAAGCTGCCAGTTTATTTGCCATTTTGCAAGATACAGTATCAGAGATTATGACGGCATATATAGTTTCCCGGAAAACGTCGCCTGATGAGCATAAGCGCGGTCAACATGGTCAACTGACCGAAAGAGAAAAAAAAAGGACATTGCACAGGACTGTGATCCGGGATAAGAAAACAACTGGTGCAAAAGTGGCTGCAGAGCTCAATCTCAGTTCCATAAAACTGAGATTGAGCTCCACAGTCACTTTTGCCACAGTTTTTTTATTTTCCATTTTTTATCTAACTCCTGTATATCTATTCTGTCTGTTATTCTGAGAGTGGACTAGATATTTTGTTCCCTAACTATATACCTTTGGTATTTATATTTACCACTGCATATAGATATTCAAGAATAAATTGTCTTTTTTCAAACTATATATTAACCAAATGATACAAACTTTTTTGAAGTTTTTATCTGATTAATCGAAACAATAATCGGCCAACTAATGGATTATGAAAATAATCGTTTGTTGCAGCCCTAAACTCTAGTATCAGGCTGCAACATACCAAAATTAAATCCCTCCCTCCTCCCCCCTTGTGGGTACAATGAATTGTGTAAATACAAGCCAAAATAAATATTCAAATTATAATAAGCTACAACAGCATCAAAACACCAGAGTTTGCGCAGGGTGGGTGCCTTAAAGTGGAGCGCCACAAACCACAAGGTCAATTTAATTCATTTATAATATTCATAAAAAGCTCCTCATCCATCCATGTCTCCATGCTTTATTTTGCTGAGAAATCACTTTGAAATACACCCTCTAGCATTTCTGGCAGTGGCCATCTTGAGTAAGGGAAGGTGATTTATGTAGCATTTACTTCCTGGAATCCATCTGCCCTTAGCTTAAACATGCAGGCAGAAGGGTGTGCTTTGCTGAGAAAGCCCCTCCTCACCTCCTGAAAACTCCTGGGATGTATGACATTGGCCTAGGCATGGAAACTATGAAGTAACTAAATAAATGTAAAAATCAGTTTAAACAAGTAAATATGATATACTTTCCTGATCCATGTTGGGTTGTTGGCGATCAGGAGGCACAGGATGTGATGGAGGTGGCATTGAGTCTTTAAAAATTGCATGCCACCCACCTATGCTAAAAGCAGGGTTATGTCATTATACTTCTAATAATATAATTCCAGGGAGATATATATACACCTTACCCTGACTCTTTGAAGGAAAATTGTAAACGTTGAAAAAATATTCTGTAGCAGATCAAACCACTGGGAAAAATTCATCATCCTCATCTGGTCAGCCAGTCTGCAAATAAATTGTACAATCATAATATGAAATAGTGTTGACATAAATAAAAAAATGTCATTGGCATATGATTATTATTACAAAAGTTAATGAACAAACACTAGAAATGAATTTAAATTATGAATATTACATTCTTAGTCTAAGTGGCTTACTGGCTAAAGGTACTCTCACATAGTATATACAAAATAATAGGATTTTAGTACTCACTGTAAAATCCTTTCCTTGGAGTCCACTGAGGAATACAGAAAGTCCTAAACTTTAGGCGTTTACTGTCGCCTATAGGATGATTGGATAAACGAAAAAAAAAAAAAAAAAACTGTAGGCCAACTAAGTGCAACACCTTCTACTACTACCAGCAGTACTGACAGCATGATCATAAACACAAAAAAGTGGGACCTGAACTCTAAGAAAAGGATTTTATGGTAGGTACAAAAGCCTATTTTCTCTCATTTCTACGGAGGGACACAGAATGTCTTAAACTTTTGGGACATCGAAAAGCAATCCAATGGATCGGTGGGCAACACAGCAACCAAATGTTACCAGGTCCAAAACAAAGCAGACATTGGAGACTGCCTGCAGCTCAAAAAGGCAGCGGTTCACACATGTGCGGTTTTGAAAGAGTTTTTAGGTGCCGGATTGGCATGAGTACAGAACTGCAATGTGTTCCTGGAGGATATTCACATATATCCATTCAATCCGCAGTGCTTTTTTGAAAAAGGGTCGTGTGTGTTCTGAGTTTTGTACTGCATGAAGTAGAATGGGAACAGCATTGGGTGTTCAGATGTAGTCAGATTACACTGTGTTTTTGAAGTGTATTTCTGTGGCAGAGAGATCAGTATGGCAATTTGTCCTACAGGAGAGAGCATGTGGAGAGAGAGACCTATGCAGAAGCCAGATCTGAAAAACACACCGCTGAATTGTACTCTAAAACAGAGCAATTTCACACACGTGAGAATCTAGCCTGAAGGACCTTAGGTCCACCTGGTAGAACTTAGAGAACGTGTGAACAGAAAACCGTGCGGAAGCCTTGGAAATCTGAGAAACAGTTGCCCTGATGCCAAAAAGCCTGAGAAGCACTTACAGATCTAGTGAACCTTGAAAATAAAGAATGGAACCTGGTCCTCTGGACCATATGCTTGGATGATGGTCTGTCTAAAGGCATCTAGAGATGGCAGAGAAAGAAAATGGTGCACCCTTTACAGCAGGAGTGTCAAACTCCATTTCATTGCATGCCGTATCAGCATTATGGCTGCCCTCAAAGGGCCGCTTGTAAATGTAAGACTAGATGTCCAAAGCACCCCACCCCTTACATCAGTTGTCAAGAATCCCACACCCTCCCTAACACCACTATGCACTCCCTTTGGGGGGCAGAGATGGAAAACAGAAAGTGCAGGGTCTGGAGGAGGACCAGAGGAGGAGTAGAGTCAGTTACCAGAGTCTGCCGAATGTTGAGACCAGGTGAGGAAGATGAGGGGGTGCTGCAGCTGCACTGAGAGGTGCAGGATTTGGCAGAGGAGTTCTATTCTCCTCTCTGCTTACTGACTGCTGAGACAAGGTGGGGGCGGAGAAAAGAGGGTACCTGCAGGAGAGGTGCAAGGGCCACATGAAATGGCCTGGAGAGCCGGATTCGGCCCGCAGGCCTTGTATTTGACACCTGTGCTTTACAACATCCATCTAGGATGATAAGAGACTCCATCTCTCTGAAAAGTAGTAGCCGACAAACTCTCACAGCTTGAACTACATCCCAACAATGGGGGAAAATTCCTTTTGCTGAACAGGAGCCAGACAGGGACAGAAAAACAATGTCCTTGTTGAAGCAAAAGGCAGAAACTACATTAAGCAAGAACAAAGTCTCCCACCTTGGATATCAACACCAGCTTTTTCTTATGCAAAGTCAATAAGGGTTCCTTGCAGGATAAGATCGCCATTTCAGACACTTGCGCTGTAGAGGTGGTAGCTAGAAGAAAGACCACCTTGCAAGTGAAAGGAGGAAAAGGAATGCTTCTAGTTGGTTCCAACAGCAGTTTCTAAAGCAAAGAGAACCAGATTCAGATCCCATGGAGTCACAGGGGAATAGATGGTGGGAGATACATGGCAGACCCCTTGTACAATAGGTCTTGATCAAAGAATAAGAGGCCAGCCATCTCTGAAACAGAATAGAAAGGGCAGAAACCTGACCCTTGACAGTGCTGAGAGCAAAATGCTGGCCACGACCAAGCTGCAGAAAGGAGTGGATTCTTCCCAAAGAAAAACTGCAGAAGGGGTTGTGGATGCGGGCTTGTAGCTTCTACAGTCAGAGTCCGCAAATAACAGAGTACCTTGGGCCATAAAGACGTTACATAGTAAAGACCAAAACAGCAGAGGATGCAGCTATACCAAATGAAGCTACTGAATACTCAAAGGATGGGACAGATTCCAAGAGCAGAGGGCAACAGGACTCAAGGCTGCAGGTGCTGACACTGTTGGTAGTAAAAAGTAAGCTGAGGGGCTCTGGCACAGCAACACTGACCCCTTTGTGTTTAGAATCAGTCATGTTGCAATCACGTGGCAGGAAGGCATGGCCTCAGATACTCATGAAACCAGGACAGCCGGTAGATGAAGGTCAGATGTCAGGAGGTGACTAAAGTCACTGTGGGCATGCCCCAGGAATGGATGTAAGAGCAAAGTTCAATGTGGCACTCACACGTAGGAGCAGCAGCAGGGAGATGTCTGACTCTGTATGGTAGAAAAGAGTGCATAGGAAGTGTGTGAGCCAGCAGATGAGACCCACAGTGCTAATTCCTTTTTGAGGCAAAAACTGAGACACGGAGTAAAGGTGTCTAGTGACCTACACAAATGAGTAACAGTAGCTCCTAATGCTTGACCCAACTGTCCCATTCAATAAGGGAATCTTCAGAGAAAGGGCAAGTGCTAAGGCAATGTCAGCGACTCTGGACCTGGAAAGTGCTTTACAGCTAACTGCTACCCATGCCATTGAGAAAGCTCGCCTGAATGAAGCCTGTGGGTCGCATGCAGCCCAAAAGAGTTTAGCATGTGGCCCGAGCCTGTCTGGAGGGACCCTGGGGATACCGTGCAAACATAGCAGCTGTGGCATCCTACATTGACAAGCCAAGCAAATGCACACCTGGAGGGATGCCGTGCAAAAATAGGGTGTGTGTGCGCTAATTATTATTATATAGTGTTTATATAGCGCCAATACGTTTGCTCAGCGCTGTACAATATAGTGGGGGACAGTACATGAGACAATACAGTAACAATACAATACACGTGGGGTTTGAGGGCCCTGTTCTTTCGATCTTACAATCCGCTAATGAGGTCGACTGATGAACTGCTTCCTATGTCTTACTGGTTTCAACTAGTGGTGCACCGAAATGAAAATTCTGGTGCCGAAACTAAAAATTCAGGATGCACTTGGCCGAAAACCGAAACGGACAGTTTTTAAAAAATTTATTTTTACAACACAATTTTTTTTGGAAAAAGATACATTACATTAAAAGAAAAAAAAAAAAAAAAAAAAAAAAAAAAAAAATCACACAATATATACCCCAATTTTTTTGTAAAATATGAAAGATGTTACACCAAGTAAATAGATATCAAACATGTCATGCTTTAAAATTGTGCACGCTCGTGGAACAATACTTAAAAATCTCCATGGGTGCCTGCTTTAAAAATTTCTACAGGTTACCAGTTTAAAGTTACAGAGGAGATCTAGTGCTAGAATTATTGCTCTTGCTTGGACGTTTGTGGCGATACCTCACATGTGTGGTTTGAACACAGTTTACATATGTGGGTGTGGCCTACGTATGAATTCACCACTATGCACAAGCACGGGGGCACTTTAAACTTTTTTTTTTTCTTTTTAATTTAATTTTTTTTTTACACTGTCCCTTTAAAAAAAAAAAAAAATTACATCACTTTTATTCCTATCACAAGGAATGCATGCATCCCTTGTGATAGTAGTGACAGGTCCTCTTTATGGAGAGATATTCGGGGTCAATAAGACCCCACATTTCTCCTCTACAATGTAAAGCATTAGACAAAAAAAAAGCATTGATCTAGTGCTTTAGAAAAAAAAAAAAAGACCTTGTTTACATAGGCGCCGGAACCTGAAGTGAAGTCACTCCGGTTCTCCAAGGGCATAGAGATGAGTGGAGGCCATCTTCACTTATCTCTATGCCCAGCGCCGGGATCATTCGATGGTTTCTCAGGCGGAGATCAACAAGTTATTTTCAGCACCTATATCGGTGCTTATTTTCATATTGGCCACAGGCCAATAGGGGTGTTTTCGGACAAAACATTTCGGCCACCAAAATTTCGGTGCATCCCTAGTTTCAACGTCCCAAATCTACAGGAAGTCAGGAACTTTTCTATATGGAACACAACAGGGGCTAAGGTAAGGCCTTGTTCTAAAAATCAAAGAAAGCTTTTATGTTTCTGCAGCAGAAGTACTGTACAATAATGGTACATAGGGGAGCTGGAATAAAAAAAAAAGTGATCTTAGACTTTAACATAAGCAATATATCATTCTGAAGATTTTTCTTCTCTATTTGCAAGTCATCTATACCACATTTCCGACTTTTTATGGGTCCTTAGTAATTAAATTACCCAAATCAAAAGTGAACACACACATGGCTGCATAGAAAACATTACTTCTAGAGTGCTTGTTGGATGGGACTCTGCAATCTATCTGCAGGAGACCTGAACACAATGTGTTAAAAAAAAAACCCAAATCTTTTGCTCACTACATAACCTGCGGTACTCTGGATTTACAGATCTTTTAATGCTGTCAGGTTAATGTTAGTTTTCAGGACAACAAAACAAAACCTCAGTTGGTCCACAGCTTTCAAGCCATTTAATTTTGATTTCAAGCTATTACCAGGAAACCACAAAAGTATATGCAGCAAGCAGTTCAACTACTGCAGAGCAGCTTATTCCCCAGGATGCCCAGCCAGAATTAATCTATAAATAATAATACACACTTATGTGTCAGAGGGTACACTGTGCACCGACAGCCTTAAGATTCAAGAACAAAATGTTTGCGGTGTTCAAAAATATTAATACATTTTTTTATTCATCACAAGAAAGTAATACTGCACTAAACAGGAGCGTGAATATTACAATTTATATATACACACAGCTCCCAAAGGGACTATATATACACAACCATGGGAGTTCATAAGCAGCCTGGTAATTGAAAGGAAATATCTACCACTATTATCATACATGGTGTCAAAATACATGCATGTGTAGGGACAAATATGTAATGCCCAGGTGGTGCTGAAATGTGAATTTTGTGCACATTTATATTAGGGCTTGTTCACACCATGAACTGTTCTTTGTGAAGCCTGTTTACAATATAAGAGCAGCGGGGTGCAGAAAAGCACAGCTCAAAGAACATTGTGTGAACAAGCTCTTCCAGCCAATAAGAAACACCGATTTTTGTGTTCTCGGAGGTCAGTCAGGAGTAATTCAAGATGCATTCCAGCCGATATAAACAAGAGTTGTGTTTATTAAAATTGAAAAAAAATCATGAAATCTACATTAAAATGCAATTAGTGTGTCTAAATTTGACTTGGAATCTCGCCTCTTATAATATCAAGTACTGTAAACTGGAAGAGTGACAGCACTAGAGGCCAATCAAGGTTGCTGCAGTGTACATGTGCTGACAAGAACTTACTGACAGGTGGAGAAAAACAGTGAGCAAAGGAATGAAGTCATCATTGCGAGGCTGCTCCTTTATGGTCTAATCAGAGACTGGGGCTATGAAAGTGTCTAAGCTATAATGGCTGTGCTACCTAGCAGGGCAGTGTGAATCTGAAGACTGGATAAAAGAAAAAGCAGGTTACACCTCAGAAACAGCACTTAAATGTATACGAATCCATGCATTAAATAAACCTTGGTGCAGTTCCTGATTTAATTCTTGTCCTGACCCAGAAGTGACGTTATGATGTCATTTCCAAGTCCCCATTGACATGGAGGCCGGGAAAGAATGTAATGCAGTGCGATGTACCCTGCATTACATTCAGTGTAATACAGGTAGTACAGGGGAGGCATTGGAGGTCTTTTAGACCTTGGATGTCTCAATAAAGAGAACCTGTCACCAAAAAACATCAAAGTTTTTTTTTTTTAATTATAAAAAAATGAAAGTTACACCCAGGCACATGACATTCCCCCCCCCCCCTCAAAATTGATACCCCCTACATATACGCACATACAAATGTAAAAGCACACACTGAGGTGCCTACGTATGAAAACGTTGATTGCAATACACGTTACATATCACAGCACATGCTAGGATGAAAGCAATAATTTTAGCACCAGGCCTCCTCCGTAACACTATACTGATGACCTATAAGGGGCTTTAAAAGTGTCGCCTATAGAAAATAAAGGGTACTGATGTCCATCATCATTTCACAAGCGCACGCAAATTTAAGGTTTGACATGTTGGATATCGATTTACTCGATGCAACCTCATCTTTTATATTTTCCAAAAAAATATTGTAATTTGCTTTTTTTGTGTCCTAAAAATTAAATTTGTTACTGAAATTTTTAGTAATATCATGCGACATAAAAAATTGGAACTACTACTATTTTAATCTCTAGGGTGTCTGCTTTCAGAAAATATATCCTGTTTGGGGGGTTTATGTAATCTTCAGGTCTACAACGATTTTTTTAAACGTGCAAAAAAGGCTTTGGCAGGGAAAAGGATAAAGGATAAGCTCGACACTCCCCTTCCCCGACGAGCACCCAATCAGTGCTCATTACACTGCAAGGTCTCTCCCCTCCCTGTTAGTCCCTGGGTGAGGAGCTGGAGAGAGGGGGAAGAGGAGATAAACAGGGCAATGTTAAAATGATTACATGTTTAAGTTGCCATAAAGCACCTTTTGTTTTTAAAAGCCCCAGACGTTCTTAAAATCACCTTGGATTTAAATATTGTTTGGGTCAAAATTTTTTTTATCTGGACAAGTAGATTGTCATGAGGGACAAGTGGATTGGAATACCAAATTTAGTCCCAGGACAAGTAGTTATTTTAAAAAAATGTCACACAGCTTTATGTACAGAGGCTTCAGGGCTATATATTTTTGATACATTATGTATTACATTGTATCATCATCAACAATAGAAACACTTACTTAGTGACAACTTCAGAATCTATTTCATCGATCTGGGAAACTGTGCTCACCACACACTAAAGGGTAGAAATAGAAAACGTAAAAAAAGTTATCCACTAAAGTACCAAGAGAAACAACATTTAATAGATACATTTTAGCTCTGAATGCAAAATGTTACAATTGTGTCAGTGAAAACTAAGGTTAGCCATTGAATGGGGAATCTCTTGCAATTTGCAATTCTGCTAAATGTGTAATTTTATGGTTCACCAAGTAGCAGTAGTTCCAACATCTATTTTATGATCTGTTTAATTAAAGAATGTACCCTTTTCTATCGTTTACACCCACCTTACAGGCACTCTCCCCACACTACTACTTCCTACATCACAGCCAGGCAAGGTGTGTATAAATGGAGTCAGTGGGCCCTCTGCATGGGCAAAGTGGCAGCGCCTTTACATTTTTCGCAGTCTTACTTCTCCACAACAAAAGGCAATACTTAGTACCTGTTTTATGATGTTCTTTGCTGATGCCATCATTTCGTGAGCATAGATCTCATAAAAATCCAATTTCCGTAGCTTTAACAGCCCAAACACCAATGACACCAGCCTCTCCTGAGAGGAAAGGAAAAATTTGTTAACATGTCCGTGTCTGTACCTTTAAATGATGACCTTCAGAAAATCAGTTTGCGCAAACTGCAATTTTCACTCAAAGCTCCACTAAAGGTAAGTGGCAAATGACTCAATATACAGTAGCTACAAATAATGTTCAGTAATAGCTTCAAAATGTCAGGGTACAGTACACAGCTTGGGACCCAGGCAACTGGTATTTGGTAGATGCATTTCTTTTTACGTTTTTAGACCCTGCAGTCATGTTTCAAAGTATTACATGCATTGCATACAAAGGTTGTATGTGCAGGTAATGCAAATAAAAGCTGAAAGAAGCTTTAGGAAACAGGAATTTTGCTGTTCCATTGCACCCAATCCACTAAGCTTAGGTTGACTTGTGCAGACATTGCAGCAATCTGATTGTAAAAACAGAATGATTTTTCCATATTTGTATAAGAATGCCCAGGATTTTAGGGATGAAAGACAACAAAAAGTATGTGCAGGTAACGAAGACTGCATTTTATTACTGTTGCAGCTTTCCAAAAATTTGCTCAAGAAAATGTTTTCTTTGGGGGAATTTTCCACTTTACAGGGAAAGTAGAAATCTATATCATAAGAAAAAAAAATATCCCACTCAGAAACCCTGCCAACCCAATATTTTCATTGAACAGTGATGCTAAGAGGCAACAAATGTACTTTGTACTTGAAAAGCTGACCCACCACAATTAATATGAGACTAGGTCATTTTAGTTAGGAGCTGCGCATGGCCACCTCTCCTCATCAAACCACAGCTGAACAAGTCTGTATCATGAGCTAAAAGAACTCTAGACCCAGAAGAGCTAACAAGACGTTATGACAGGCAAATACAGTGAGAGTCACTCAGTAAAAGTATAGGCTGAATTACTTACTTGTGGAACTAGCACCAAAGCTATTCAACACATCTGGGTATGTTGGATAGCGTGTCCCCAGCAATCACTGTGGTTCCTCCAAGCTACATCTACATGACTATTTTGTCCTGTAGTGACAGAGGGGTCTGCGGAAGGAACCATAGTACTTGGAAGGGGACACGCTACACTATACAGATATACTGAACAACAGTGGTGCCTTTAGCTCTCGCAGAGATGGAAGATTTCTCTTGCTGGCCACGTGGACAGGTAAACATTGATCCGTCCCCCTGTCAGAACACAATAGCACAGCAGGGGAGATCGCTGTACTAACAGATAGTTAGTATAAAATGGTGAACTGTCCCTTTAATGCTCCAAAATCTTCACATGTTCTTATGCGATATGTCTCCTGTGCAATATATACCAAATACCATCAAACAAGTGTCTCAATGTTATGGTCTCAAAATGCTGGTGAACTGTCCCTTCAAGACCGCTGTGTTCCAAGTGAATTTGTGTAATCACTTTACTACGTATACATATACGGTGCTCCTGTGTCACCCCTTAGTGCTTATCCACCTACGACACACTATTTTTCTCACCTTCTGGTTTGACCTTAATACTCAGGTCAAACTGCGCCTTTTCCTTTAACCCGGGAGGGTATGCTGGTACAAAGATCTCCACCTCCTTCAGCACATCTAATCTCCAAAACGCTCCACAGAAAAATGAAGGGAAAAAAAAAAAAAACGCTTCATATAGTAACGTATAGCCAAAATGTATTAAACTTTATTAAAATATTGTTAAATGCACTCACATTTGTAAGTGTTTAGCTGGGACACTACAGGATTAAGAACTCTGTACAGTGTTTTTTCGTGAATGAAATTACATGGATCCCTTATTCAAAATGGTGGTACGTACACTTCTGGTTTACAGCTTGATGTCATCGGCGTACCCAACGCGTTACGTTACATGTGACTTCATCAGGAGTCTACGCGTTATGTCACAACATGTGACTTCATCAGGCCCTTAGATGTGCTGAAGCAGGTGGAGATCTTTGTACCAGCATACCCTCCCGGGTTAAAAGGTAAAAGCGCAGTTTGACCTGAGTATTCAGGTCAAACCAGAAGGTGTGTGCAATAGTGTGCTGGAGGTGGATATAAACTAAGGGGTGACACAGGAGCACCGTATATGTATACGTAGTACAGTGATTACACAAATTCACTTGGAGCACAGCGGTCTTAAAGGGACAATTCACCAGAATTTTGATACCATAACATTGGAACACTTGTTTGATGGTATTTGCTATATGATGCACAAGAGACATATCGCATAAGCACATGTGAAGATTTTGCAGCATTAAAGGAATAGTTCACCATTTATATACGATTCATTTGGTATTTGAATACACTATTTATTTAGCACTGGTATATGCTGTTTATTTACATATATGTGTTGATATTTATTTTTGATGTAGCACATATTATCACAAAGCACAATTGTATTCACATATGCACTTTGGATTTATTTAGCACTTTATTTGTGTTTATAGTACTGCACTGCATTTTTTTGATTCATGGTTTATATGTGGGAGCACAGTACAGCTAGTTTCAATACTTTGTGTATGAAATACATACAGCGCAATGGATCTCCTATACACCAACAGATACTTAGTACAGCGGCTCCTCCTGAGCTGTCAGTTTTTTCGTTTAGCCCACTGGGTTAAAATGAAAATAAATTATATATATTTATTAGTGTGCACTGTTTGGCTTAGCAATACTTCAAGTAAATAAATGTAAAAAAGAAAAATCATCCACAGCTTTTGCAGTAAAAATCTGCATACCTCCTCTACGACTTGACAGTCTTCATCCAAAGGTCTGTTTAAGTCGCTTTGAGCATATGATGTAAATTCTGCAATAATCATTTTATCAATAAGCTTTTCCAGTTCGCAAAGTTGTGACCCAAGGTGTCTGTTGAGTTTAACAAAAAAAGCATTAGTTAAACATGAACCAGTAATACATTCTAAACCCCAATAGTCAACCAAAATATCTCAGAGAAGAACAATCTAAAATCATGAAGCTTCTCTGACAGATGAAACAAATTTTAAAATAAATCTACAATTTCTACAATGATTTTAAGAGAAACACACAAGATCAGTTTGACATCAATAAACTTATTGATGTATGGTAAAGTTTGAAACAATTTAAGTAGTTTGTAATTGGACATATGTGCTCATTATAGTACTCCCTCCCACAATGCAAATCTATGTTCTGGTCGAAATATTGAAAACAAAAAACACTCCCTATGTAGCTGATATATCTGAATGATTGTATTTTCAAAGCCAAAAAGTTCTGTCTAAAGTTTGGATAGAATAGGGAGGGTTCAAAATTATGCCAGTTTTTTTTCTTTTGACAAAAGTGTCTCATTAGGGAAATTTCAAGTGTCCCCATTGGAAGATTTTAAATTTGGATTTACCTTCAACTTTCTTTCCCAGTGACACCGGTGATCAGGACAATAAGTGAAAGTAATACACGCTATCGAGAGAGCATACAAAATAAACACCTTACAGTTGTTCTATCCCTTCTCCATTCTAACCAAATCTAACAAATTTTTTTGCTTTATTCCAGCCACATATTGATCGAAATGCAGCCAGTTCAGCCGGGACTGACCAAATTTAGATCCATGTATTAGCAGGCTCATTGTACACAAGTCCATCAATTGACTTGTGTACAACCAGCCTGTTGGAAATGTATTTCAATCTACGCCGGCACTGATGAGTGTAATCTGACAGCAGAGAAATGTACTCGCTGTCAGAATACCATGACCATGAGGAATTTTCCCCATCCACATCAAGTGAGTGGATGGAGATATAAATTAATTTTCTTTTGTTCATCCTGCTGGTTAAATTAAAAAAAAATAAATAAAAAATAAATTATATTTTAAGCTGAACGAGGCTGAGAAACAAAGTTCACAAAAAAAGGTAATCTACAGATCTCTACATTTACTATAATACTATAAAAAAAATAACATTTACGTCCAAGAGTTTTAAAAACTTGGAAAAAAAAAAAATCATAAAAAATACTTTAACCACTTGATCTCTGGAAGGTTTTACCTCCTTCATGACCAGGGCAATTACTTGCAATTCAGCACTGTGCCTACTTTAACTGCCAATTGCATGGTCATGCAACACTGTATGCAAATTACATTTTTATCATTTTTTTTCACACACTTTCTTTTGGTGGTATTTGATCACCACTGGGCTTTTTTTTTTGTGATATTAAAATAAATAAATAAATTTGAACAAACATTTACTACATATCCGAAAGAAGAAAAAAAAATAAATCTAATTTCTTCATAAATTTAGGTTGAAATGTACTCCACTACATGTCTTTGGTATAAAAAAAAAAAAAAAAAAATACCAAGAAGTGTAAATTAATTGGCTTGTGTGAAAGTTATAGCATCTACAAACTATGGCATATAAACGTGAATTTATGCAGATAGGACTCTATACCGGTGATGGCGGTGATCAGCGACTTATAGAGTGACTGTGATAGCGTGAAGGGTAATCTGGCACTAACAGATGCTATCTGGGAGTGTCACTAACTGACACAAGTGATACGAATACAGTGATCTGAATACAGTGATCAGTGATAAGACTGTACACAGACAGTACTGATGACACTGGCTGGGAAGGGATTATAATCCAGGGGCAATCAAGGGGTATGTTCCTAACAATATGTAATGTGTGCTGCTTTTACTTATCTGTGTTATGTTATTTCTGCTTTGCAGGGAAAAGAAACATTCAGATTGCTGATCAGTGTACAGTGCCCTGTGTGTTTGTAAACACAGGGCTCTGTGCTATGATTGGACACAGCTGGTCTCAGCCATGAATCATTGGACAGGACCTGCTGACAAAACCACGTTGTGTCCAACCACAGGTACGCGATTCAGCGGGGCTGTGTCACCATAGTTATACAGTGGCTGGACAGCAAGTAGTTAAACATGTACACTGTAACAATTAAAGTAGAACTATAGGCAAAACTTTTTTTCATATTGGATAGAGTAAGGGAAGGTTATAACCCATGTTAGAATTTTTTTTTTGCTATTTCTGTCCCACTGGGGAGATTTACTTCCATAGCTAAAACAGGAAGCGAGAGGAAATCCCTGCAAATTAAGGTAATCCCATTGGAAGATTTCCCCTCTACTTTTCTGGGTACAACTCAAAATTTGGTATTGTCCTTTTCTTCCCTAAAAAAAAAAAAAAAAAAAAAAAAAAAAACCTAATAGGTGTTCTAATCCCTCTCCACTCTGTCCAAAAGCAGCTTCATAAACCTATACGGTGGTGGGATCCTGGAACCTAGCTTCTTTGCACGGGTGCCTTCTCACTTTTTACTAACTCTAAATGTGTCTATTTATTGGTTGCAGAGCTGATTTCTGCACTGTTTTTTTTTTTTTTTTTTTTTTTGTAACAAATATTGGTTCTGACTTCAGAATGTCTCCGTGGATATCACAGACATTACAGTCATAAACTGCTCTGCTACAAAATGAAGAATAAATAAGCACAGAATGTCTAAATTAGAAGCCATGACTGTCTTTGTAGACCAGTAAATTAGGTAAATGTCCACTATTTTCTGTGTACAAAACACACAATGCGTACATTCCAATATATGTGTGGTATCAGTTAGAAGGTTTCATAGAGCAATTCTATCAATATTATAGTTTTCATTCTGAAAAGAAAAACTGCTCCCTAAACACAAAGTTGATGCTTGCTAGAAATGTACATAAAATTAATTTCCATTTGCTTCTTCTACAAAACAGAACTTCATAATTTAGCCACAATAATATCTTGTTAAATGAGTACTTTAAAACTTACAACCTAGAAAATGAGTAAAACATTAAAATGTAAATCTAAGAGTGCAACAAAGACAAGCGAGTCTAAAATAATCAGACAGCAAAAGTAACAACACATAACCATAACTGCTCCAGAAGAAAAATGATATTACACGAAGAGGACATTTGTTTTTAGAAAGTTACAGACACAGCAATAATAGAAAGAACAATACAGCTCAGCAAATTCCAAAAAAAAAAAAAATGACTTTTACTTGGAATGCGGCAATGTTATCATCTACAGAGACCTTTACCATGGAAAAGTGCTGTAAATATGTAGACATATAAAACAGTAAAGTGGGTTCTAAAGAGATAGGCAAGAAGGAGGTATTAAATTGAATGAATAGAAATATGGAAAATGCTGACTTGTTTCTCAAGGTGCAAGCCCCAGGCTGTCATGCTTCAATACACGGCAAGTTACTGAGCAAGAACAAGAATATATGTGCGCAGTGATACTAGTCCATATCTGTGACACATGAAGTAGTAAACTGCAAGATGATGGTACCCCCAGCATGCAGAGGGCGACACAGGCATCCAACACTTCACAAAGTGTCAAATGCCCAAGAATCTGAAAAAGAGGGAGGCTGGGAGACTTCGGTGGTCAGAGAGGCCTATTCTACTACATTAAAATGCAGTTTAGATTTGTTTAAGAAAGTAACAGGTTAACTTTAATTCCTGGCTTTTTCACATTACCCCTAGCCGCTCTGCAAGGATCTACCTAAAACTGGTCTTTGTGCATTAAAAAAAAAAAAAAAAAAAAAAAAACAGAACAAAAATGAAACTTGTGGATGTGTCCACTACTTGTGTACAACGTTTCCCCAATTCATTGTGGTGTTGTAAAGGAGTATATATAAAAGTGTAGCCAAGCTTTGCTCATAAAAAGGAGTGTGTTGCCAGTAACACGCACTATTAATGCTGCTGCAGTCATGACACCACCCACTGTATGGGAAAAAAAACGTAGACATTACATGATACAGCATTGAGTGAAGGAGAACAAAAAATAAAAAGAGCAGTATTTTAAAGCAAGCAAAGGGAGACATTGATAACTATGCAGCAAAACCCCTGAAGCTGGCCAAGTGCCAAGTTCTCTTGACCAGCCATCCACTGCTGCTTACCTATGCTACATTCACCTGCTAAGCCACTCAGCTGTGAGAATACAGAGTCTAGCCCCTGTGTAAGATCCATGTTACATCCTGGGAGTAAGGAACAAGTTCACATACTTCCCCATGTTTGGAAATACTGGGTATTTGTGACATGGGGATCACCAAATCGGCAAAGTAGCATGCATTCTTAAGAGAATCTATTGAACCCAATACCCCTGGATGTTGGCCATCAGAGACTTATTCTTGCATTCTCATATCTATCACAAGACAGGCAAACGAGTTGCTAAAAGCCAGAGTCTCATGCTTCAATCTTATTAATATTTCAATTTATTGGTCTCACTGTGGTGGTGTGTGGTGCAGCAAGAGTTGGGAGAGGAAAGGAAATCTCAGTCCTTTTTTTTTTTATATACAGAATGGTATTGATTAAATATGTATGCCTCCCTGCAAAAGCACATACAACCACGACACAAAAAAAAGAAAAAAAAAAAAAGAAACCTAAAGGCCTCATTCACAAGGTCATACTTAAGAATACAACTGTGTGAGGGCCGTGTTTTTCCCATACAGGGATGCACAGTTGCCCCGTGCACCCTCTTGCATGCAGTTGCATTTATGTCAATTGGGATGCAGCGGCTGCACAGACACAGCTGCTGCTCCCAGTCTAACATCTGTGCAGATCCCTGAATGCAGACAGTGCAACCACATGGATGTTATTAAATATAATTTTTCTTTGAAAAGTAAAATGAAAAAACATTAAAAAGTACCAAAACAGAATAAAATGTCCAAAACTTTTAATTTTTCTTTATCTATACACAGAATTCAAGCGAAAAGAGTGCAAGAGGAGCCTGCCAGAGAGTAAGGACCTTTAGGCCAGCTGTAAAAGATGGTGAGTGGTGGATGCATGATGTCATTTGTATGATGACACAGTCTACAAATCAAGGGATTACCAGACCACTGTATTTTAACCACTAGCCTACAGGGCACTTATACCCCCTTCCTGCCCAGGCCAATTTCCAGCTTTCAGTGCTGTCGCACTTTGAATGACACGGTCGTGTGGGTACAACACTGTACCCATATGAACTTTTTTTAAAAAAATTTTGTGATAGATAGAGCTTTATTTTGGTGGTATTTAATCACCTCTAGGTTTTTTTTTTTCTTAAACCAAAAACCACTGAAAATTTTGAAGAAAAAAAAAAAAAGTTTCTTAGTTTTTGTTGTAACATTTTGTAAATAAGTGATTTTTCTCCTTCACTGATGTGCGCTAATGAGGCTGCAGTGAGGGACATGATAGGTGGCACTGATGGGCAATGATGAGGAGGTACTGGTAGGTGGCACTGATGGGCATTGACAGACATCACTGATGGGCACTGAAAGGCAGCTCAGATGGGCACTGACAGCTGGCACTGATGAACACTGATAGGTGGCACTGCTGGGGCTACACAGAAAAATCAGGGCACACTGATCATCAGTGCTCTGATGATCAGTTTATGTCCCCTCCGAGCAATGCCGATTACCGGCTCTCCTCTCCTCACAAGCTGTCAGCGTGACAGCTCGTGGGGAGAGAAATGCCAATAACCGGCATTTCCCTGTTTACATGTGATCAGCTGTGATTGGACACAGCCGATCACATGACTGAGCCGACATCTTCGGCTCTTTCCGTGGATTGGTGATCCGCCGTGTCTGAGGGACACAGCACACCGCCAATCGCCGCACTCTCTGGGAGCCGCGCATGCGCGGTTAGAACGGGAGGACGTCATATGACGTCCTCCCAAAATGAAAGAACCACCTTGAGTCCATCATATTACTATATGGTGGGCGGGAGGTGGTTAAGTAAAAATCTACTTTCAGCAGTCATGTGGACTGATGTACCGCAACAATGCTAGAGGGAAAAACTGAAGCCCTGTACACAGTCTGTTTTGCCTATAATGCAGTTCCATGTGTATTTTTGAGTGATTTGAGCTTGGCTTTAGGGCTTGTTCACACTTGACTCCTTCCCAAATGCCCCTATAGCGTTTGACAGGCATTAGACAGCCGTTTGGGGAGCGTTTTTAACGCTTCAGTGTGAACAACACTGCATGCTGCCATGTATATAACTTTCATAGGCGGTTGAGGAGCGTTAAAAAAAGCCCCTTAAACGCCTGCTTACAAAGCTAGTGTGAACTGAGCCTTAAGAGAATAAAATAAAGCACATACCGAAAACAGTGAATGCCTTGAAGCTCCTGCTGTAAGACTTCCTGTGTTGTTGCTATTAAGTCCAGTGCCCCAACATAATCTGAAGTAGATAACAGCAGCTGTACAGTTGGCTGAGTCTGGTGCACTGTAGCCATTAATTTAAGTTTATTATACAGTTTAATGCAGTTGTTCCTGGTCAGGGCTTGTCTAAGGATTTGCAGAGATCCCTCACACATGACTCTGTCAATCTGAGAAATCTTGTCACGCAGCATATTGACAGCCTGGGAAGTCTTCCTGAGGTAATCCTGCAGCTCGTGCTGGGAGGTCATAGCATGGAAAAAAGCTTCAGAGCGCAGCGAGATCTGGTGTGCAATGTTCACCTCCACAATGTCCAAGTAGTGGCTCAGCTGAAGAGCAAAAGCACATAAACAATTATTACATTTAGTCATTATATGTCTATTAGAGTTATGTATGCTATGTACATTTTTTGGTATGTACAATATTTTGGATGGTAATAGCATTATAGTAAACGGTGCAGTCAGGAAATCCATCAGCAACCTTCTTCTGATGCAAGCCATTTTCTGACTGTACATGGGCGTTCAAGATATAAACTGTAGTCCTCATAAAAATAAATGAGAGCCAGATCAGACAGACATTGTATTACTGTATATGAGCTGCAGTGAAAGTACTAAAGGGACGTACAGCATTAAAGAAGAACTCCAGGTAAACAAGGTATACATAGGTGACCTGTTAAACCTGACAAAAGATTTTTAATTTTGTTCAACTAGTTTCGCCTTTCAGACACCCCTGCCAAACATTGCATGCCAGGTCAGTGATCTCACTTTTATTCACAGTAAAAATACAGTTTAGTCATTGTCCTGGCAACCCTGGCATGCTGTCTGGACAATGAAGGACTAGCATCTTACTAATGAGGTTATCACAGTACTGACTCGCCCTGTCAACATAGTACTAGTCCAATCCATTGATTACCAAAAACAAATATAAAAAGGAGGATTTACATACTTATTCATGCAATTTTTTCAAAATATATTTTAATATTTTAAATATATACCAAATGAATTTAATAGGTGATCCTGTATACCTACCTGAAATGTAGCATATCTCCCTCTGACAGAACTCCAGACATACTGCTGACAGAGGCAGTCCTGCACACAAGCTTATAAATGTCCACAAGCACTCAGTCAAAGCCCTTTAGTGTGCAGATGTCATATATAGAGTAGAGTAAAGTAAAGGAACTAGCAGAAAAAACAGTTCCTACAATGTAAAAGTAAATACCAGTTTCATACCTTTTCTTGAAGCAATTTGGAGGATGCTGCATCTCTGCTTCCTTTTCCACCTGCACTGCTAAAATGGGACCAGGGCAAAACTGCATTAAATGTTAAGGAGTCATCCAAGGCAAAGTCGGGCTTCAAAAAAATCTGAAATTAAATCAAAAATAGCACTTGAGACAATTTCTACAAAGATGCAAGTAATGTAGAATACACTGCTTATATAAAGCTTTTGGCTCTTTATTATCAAAGTAAAATACAAATGCTATAAATAAAAACAATACATGTGGGAGTTATGTATGTTTTAAGGGATAACGAAAACGCAACAAAAAATTTAAAATACTGAACTATTTAGAGTTCACAAAGAAGTTAGGCTTTAACCACTTGCCCTCCTGAGGGATTTACCCCCTTCCTGACCAGGCCATTTTTGCGTTATGGCGATGCATTACTTTAACTGACAATTGCGCGATCATACAATGCTGCACCCAAATGACATTTGCGTCTTTTTCCCACAAATTGAGCTTTCTTTCAGTGGTATTTGATCGCCTTCGCAGTTTTTATTTTTTGTACTATGAAAAACTATTTTGAGAAAAAAAAAATATATATATTTTTTACTTTTTTGCTCCAGAGGATTTATCCCCCTTCCTAACCAGGCCATTTTTTGCTGTTTGGCACTGCACTATTTCAATGGGTAATTGCGCGGTTGTGCAATGCTGTACCCAAGCAAAATTTATGTCCTTTTTTCACACAAATAGAGCTTTCTTTTGGTGGCATTTGATCACCTCTGCGGTTTTTAATTTTTGCGCTATAAACAATTTTGAAGAAAAAAAAAAAGCAATATTTTTCACTTTTGGTTATAAACAATATCCAATAAACTCAAAAGTTAGTCATAAATTTAGGCTAAAATGTATTCTGCTACATCTTTGGTAAAGAAAAAAAAAAAAACTCAATACATGTATATTAATTCACTTGTGTGAAAGTTCTAGCATCTACAAACTATGGTATATATATATATATATATATATATATATATATATATATATATATATATATATATATAGGAATTTACGTAGCTTTTACTTTGACTGCCTATCACATTTCATGAGGTGCTAAAATGCCTTTTTGGAAAGTAGACACCCCAAGGATTTTGAAGAGAGATATGTTGAGTCCATGGAACATTTTATTTTTTGCCACAATTTTTTTGAATATGAAATTTTTTTTTTTTTTTTACACATAGTTGTCACTTTAATGATATATTGCTCATGCATGCCATGGGTATATGTGGAATAACGCCCAAAAACACATTCTCCTACTTCTTCCGAGTATGGGGATACCACATGTGAGAGACTTTTTGGTATCCAAGCTACATACAAGCCCCCAAATTCCAATGACCACCTCTAGGCTTTCATATTTCCTCATATCACTTCCACACTACCTATCACAGTTTCAGAGGCTCTAAATAATTTTTTTGTTTTCCATCTTCGTTTTCCAAAAACGTGGCAGCAAATGAGATCTGTAAACACTCACCATGCCTCTTATGCGTTTGAATAGTTTTTTTTAATGTGAACAAATGCTATCTTTTGTGAAAAGTACACTTTTTAGAATTTTAATGCACAAAAACACAATATAATGCCCAATTGTTTGATAAAATATAAAAGATAATGTTACACTGAGTAAATAGATACCAAACATGACATGCTTTAAAATTCTGCATGCCTGTTCAATGGCAAAAAAGTACTTACATTTTTATTATTAATAGGCGACGCTTTAAAAGCTTTTACAGGTCACCAATTTAGTGCTAGAATTACTGCCCTCGATCGGACGTTTGCGGCACTACCTCACATGCATGGTACAATCGCTGTTTACATACCGGCACGGGGTCAACGCTTGAGCACACAGGTGTGCACGTGCAGGGAGGCAAGGGTTCTTTTTTTTTTTTTTTTTTTTCGTTGGCATTATCTCAGTACTGGTAGCTATCAACATGGAGTGGGCAGAAAAATAATATCTACACCTAAACAAAAACGTATTTTACAAAGCTAAAAGAGCAATGGATGTGACAGTGTTATTTTGTCATACAATCTTACTGCTAAATACTAAACAAAAACTGAAAAAAATATTGTTACCTTAGGTACTTGTTCCAGATCTGCCCTAGATTTATTTACTGAAAGAAGAAAAAAACAAAAAAAAAAAAAAAAAACAGATGACAATAATATATACTAAACTGCAAAACGACCATATACATTTGTTAGATATAGATCTTGGATTTAAAAAGAAGCTTGAGCACCAGCACCCCACTCACATCTTTCTGATGAGCAGCAGAGCTTGGGTGAGTCGCTGTCCATATACATTTGTTGTTTGTGTGTGTTTCTTAGTAAATACATTTCCATGTAAATTAACTATTGTAGCTGGCATTTGGAAGGCACAACATGCTCATAATTTATTTACTATTCACAAGCACACAACAGGGGCTCTGGAAGCAAATGCAAAACTGATTTTTATACTGCACAAAAGCAAAGAAGTCAGCAGGTGACATTGTCTATGCTGAGTGTACAGGGACATGCAGCACGCCGCAGTACTAGGCTCAGGTTACTTCCTGCATTATTCAGAACTGAACCACTTCATGTGCAGAAGAGAAACTGAACTCTATCTATGCAAGCTTTTGCTAATTCACAAAAATGTAAGAAAAGTCTGAAAAACAACCTAGGTAAACTAAGGGGTTGATGTGCTAAAACTGGAGATGCAAAGTTTGGTGAAGCTGTGCACAGAAACCAATCAGCTTCCATTTTTGTGTCAAAGATTAATTGAATAAGCTGAAGTTAGAAGCCGATTGCCTACCATGCAAAGCCGGACCAGATTTTGCACTCTCCAGTTTTTGTAAAGCAACCCCCAAGTGTAAAAGGTATAACAATTTTAGACTTTTGTATCAACTGCAATAATTACGTACCATGTGAATGGGAAAATGCAGTCCTATTGTAATCATCCTTAGGAGGACATATTGTCTTCAGTTTTTCATGACTCTTTTCTCTCTTAGGGATTAGTACAAAGAATATGTATTAATTAAAGAAATGCAAACTTTGAATAAAGTGTGAAAACCGTTTTAAATGAAACATCCCATTAGAATAGTATATTAACTCCTTCCCACCAGCATATGCATACATGTGGCTTCAAGGAAGCGAGCCTTTATCTGTGGGGCACCACTGAATTTGTACTTTGAGTGAGATGTGTAGCACCAACAGCTTCAGGTATTGTACTAACAATTAGGTGATCAGGAACCAGTCTTCCTGGTTCCTGACTGTTGGGATAGCCTGCGAATGGCTATCACAGTGATCAGTCACTCTGCAGTCTGCCCCTGTGTTTTTTTCGCTTTTTGAATGCATCTTTTTCTCCTTGTTAGAAAGATGTTTAAATAAAAAAAAAAAAAAAAAAAAAAAAAAAAAGCTATTCATATGTGTAAAATTCATCTATTCTAGTTGCCAGTGTTGCAATAAACGTGCGTATAGACAGGGGCATATTTACCACAAGGCAGACAAGGCATTTGCCTAGGGCAGCACCGAATGGGGACCACGTGGGATCAGAGAGAGGCTACGAACTGCTTGACAGCGTATGCAGAACCTGACTCTCGTTTTCGGGGATGTCCGGAGCTGTGAAGGGGTGGGGGGGGGGGGGGGTGCTGGTTGGTATCAGGCTCTTTCTGCAGGGAGGTTGGGGTGGCCAATTTTTGTGTTGCCTAGGGCACCACAAAACCTAAATACATCACTGCGTATACAAGCGTGCGTGCTTAAAATACTACATATTTAAAGGAGCTAATCTGGTATAGTTGTTGTTAGATAGGGAGGTGGTGTTGCGGTGTTGGAGCATGTGGTGAGACCTTAGGAACACTAATCCAAGCTGGTGGCTGGTATTGTATTTTAGGTTTCCCACTATTACTCAAACTAATGCTTTTGGTGTTTTTGTTTCTTAGCATGTGTCTCTCTATTGAGGATTGGGCTCTTATGTGGCCTTGGTTTACTGCTGCCACCTCCCACTTTGGATGTTTCCAATTACATGATGGAGGTAAATTCAGTATTGTCCCCATTATCAATATTCATACCGTTGGTAGGCTGATTGGTTTCCTCAGTTTGCTCAAATTTATTACATATATTCTGTTCTAGTGTTCTACTTGGACTGGTAGTTCTGGCTTTATCTTTTCCCTGATGTAATGCTACTAGCATGGCGGTGATAATCAGCGTTCATCGAGGAGTTATTTTTTGATACAGCTCCACCTTTAAAAAAGGTATAATTTTCCTGCCTCAAGCTGTTAAAGAGATTTGAAAAATATTTTGGGTGGCAGTTGATATCCTTTTCTTGTATATCTTTGCAGTTAGCCTATGGACTCTTTCACCAATCATGTGAGCTGTCTTTATGTCCAGGCTAATTTAAGGACTCCCTGTTCCTTTAAACTACCTACTAATTGGCTTGCATATAATGTGTATAATTGAGTCAGTCATGCTATTGCTGGTAAGTATGTTGCTATTTGGGATGTGGTGCCTTTGAGCTCCCCTCTGAATCCCAGAATTCTTGTCTCTTAAAATACCGCACTCAAATATAGCATTTTCTGTTTTTATTTCAAGGCTCTTTACTGATCGCCGTATTACTGATCTTTACGCAGCTGTGTGCACTGTTCCATAGACAACAATGCACCTGTGTTCAGATAAAAAAAATGGGGCGTTTTTTACTCTTGTATCCAAGAGGTCTGAAACTGAAGATTAGGTATTGTAATTTATATACAGTTACACTGGTCAAGCCTGTATCAATGTAAGTATGTACATGCCATACCTACTGGGTTCCTGCGGAAGCTGGAAGTGCCTGGAGTATGCACCTCTATTGTTTTGTTCTCCACTACTTACCAGGTCCTGTGCTGAGTGACTGCCCTGTTGCATTGTAAACACAGGAGGTAGTTTGCTTGGCAGAGGCACCATTCTGTGAACACTGTAGATTTTCTCAATGAAGGCAAAGTGTTCGCTGATTTAACAAGGTGGAGAGGTAGGGCAGTGAGGTCATAATCAAAGCTGGACCAAAGCAACTATGGAAAAATTGCTATACTTAAACTTCAGTTTAAGCATATCTCCATTGAAAAAAAGTCCCCTAACTTCCTATCCCGATAATAGCCAGAGCACAGCTGCAAGAGGACTTGCCTGCATATACTGCTTTTGAGAATCCACTAGAGCAGGGGTGTCCAAACTTTTTTCAAAGAGGGCCAGATTGGATGTAGTGAACATGGTGGAGGGCCGAACATTTTTCCGAACATTCTTTGAACCATTACAATTAAATGCAAATAAATGCAAATAAATTATTTTATGCCAAGTTAATTGCAAACGACATACTTTTCATTTCATAACATTAAGATCAACTGACAGCTGAGTTTTCACAATGTATTGAAAAAATAAATAAAAAAAAAAAAACTTACCTGCACTAATGTGAAGGGTGAAAAAGGTAGCTGGAGCTGAAGTCTCTGCTCGGCAGCCGGGAGGGGAAGAGAAACACACTTCACGCTGGAAGCCCGGCTCTAACGTCACCGCCCTCTGCGCGGCGCAGTCACCCATGCGCACTGCTCTCAAGCAGAAGACTGTCTGCCACAGAAGGGAGGGCCGTGCGACAGCCGCATTTACACAGACCAGGGAGAACGCGCCGCAGTCAGGCATGCGCACTGCCCTCTGCTCTCAAGCAGAAGACTGTCTGCCATAGAAGGGAGGGCCGTGGGAGGGCCACATTACACAGAGCAGGGAGGGCTGTTGGAGGGCCGTATTAAACCGACCCCCGGGCCGTAAATGGCCCGCGGGCCGGACTTTGGACATGCCTGCACTAGAGGTATCATGAGTTTCTTTGTGGATTCACAAGAGTATTGAGAGACTGCATAAACATATTGTAACTAAATGTAGAGCAGCAGCAGGGAGGCCAGACACTAAAGTGGGAAATCATTGTCACAAGGAATGAGGAATTTGCAGATTTAAATATAATGTACTTGTGACCATCTCCAGCCCCAGGCAGACTTCCCTGTATTAGAGGTATTTACTTCTTTGTTTATGGATAGAAAAAATTAGTTACATTTTCACCAGCCAGTGCACTGGGATTTTAAATTCTTAACTAAATGTTCACTTTAAAACGCAACTTGTAGTGATAAAAATATGTAGTCTGCCATTGCTAACTTTCATGTAAAAATACCAGAAGCCTGCTGTCTCTGGTTGTAAAGCCGAAGTCCATGTTTTCTGTCACTTTAAATAGTTTGTTTGGGCCAACTGACAGGAAACATGGACTTCGGCTTTTAAACCCAAAGACTATGCCACTTTGCAACTCCATAAATGATCCCTTTACCCCATATAGAATGTTCATAAACCATGTACAATTACTGACATCACAGAAGAAATTATTTATCTTACTAGGCTAGTCTGCTGAACATAAGATGAAAAGTTTTCTTTAGTAATGGGTGGGAGGTATGGAGCAGGGAAGACTTCTGTTTCCACAAAGTCTTGGCCCCATGTCTTGGTGAAGAAGTCAGACTCCCGTTTTGCAAGTCGAGGGTCATTTAATGCTGCTGGCAGGTTCACTTTGGAATGATAAATAGTCCATTTGTGCTGATCTGCAACCACAGATGGCTCATCACACAAACTATTAGAGTCACCTGCACAAAAGAGAAAACATAATGAGAAGTCTAAAAAGCAGCTGCTACCTAGACTAATGAACTGAGAAGCCCAGAAAAGCAACCACAATGACATATAAGGCTTCATTCAACGGGTGTACTGCAAAGGGACATCTTTACCCACACGGGAAATACAGGTATTCTGTGCAGGCAGGCTGTTCAAATCAATGACAGATGGAAGGGTTGCACAGATCTACATGGATCTCCAAGATCATATCTGCCTATATCTGTGTAGGACTAAAGCATGGATCAAAATGCAGACAAGGCAACCCAAAAACATGGTTGCTGAAATCTGGTTTTGTTAACCACTTCAAGTCCGGACACTTCTACCCTTCCTGTCCAGGCCAATTTTCAGCTTTCATTGCTATCACACTTTGAATGACAATTGTGCGGTTATGCAACACTGTACCCATATGAATTTTTTAGCAATTTTTGAGACGGATACATTTATTTTGGTGGTATTTATTTACCACTGGGATTTTTATTTTTTTTGCTATATAAATGAAAAAGTCCAAAAATTTCGAAAAAAAAAAAGTGTTCTTATAAAATTTTGCAACTAAATTATCTTTCGTCATAAATCTTAGCCAAAATTTATTTGGTTATCTTTTTAGTAAAAAAAATAAATAAATAAATAACCCAAATTAGTTTATAAACAAAAAATTATAATTTTTCAAAAAAAATTTTTGAAATTTTTTTTTATATATATATATATTTTTTTTAATATACTGCTGCTTCTCCGTGGTCTTTCAGTTGATTATGTGCAAAATCCATCTCATTATTTTATTTCAGGTACTTCTATAAACGCCATCAAAAAAGCCAGCGCTTTACACATATATATTGTACATTCATATCAGTCCCAATTAACCTACAAGCATGTCTTTGGAGTGTGGAAGAAAACCGGAGTACCCGGAGGAAACCCACACAGGCACAGGGAGAACATGCAAACTCCAGGCAGGTGGTGCCGTGGCTGGGATTAGAACCCAACGACCCTAGTAGTGCCAGGTGGAAGTGCTAACCATTTAGCCACTGTGCTGCCAGTTCATGCTCCAGTAAATGAGAATGGTGATGGAACCATGAAGACACAGTGGGGAAGATTTACTAAAACTGGACACTCTGAATCTGGTGCAGCTGTGCGTGGTAGCCAATCATCTTCTAAGTTCAGCTTGTACAATTAGGCTTTGGCAAAAAAAAAAAAAACCTAGTAGTTAATTGGTTTCTCTGAAGAGCTGCACTAAATTTTGCACCCTCCAGTTTTAGCAAATCAAGCCCAGTGGTCTGCAGGGCTGCACCCTCAGGATGTAAATTAGAACCATTCAGCTTACACTTTCACAATGAATTGTGCATTTGTACTTGTCCCTGCAGCCTCTGAAGAAATATTTATGTCATGGGTTATCCTTATGAAGACAAGTCCTGTTCTAAGCAGTATGGCCTGCAGCCTCCAGAGCTGTCTGCATCCTTCTTCACCATGAACAAACCGCTCCCAAAAATGGCCTGTCGTTTCATACAGAGCTTTTTTTGTATATACGCACGAGGGGCGTTCAAGTCTAACCTAGAGTTTTCATTTTACAGGTATAAGAAGGGACACTAGTGAAGTGGTACTACACGCAGTGGTAGGTGGCAAGCGTGTCCTATTACTGACAGGTGACACACATGTCGCGGGCCAGTCCACAGACTGTCAATCAAGATGGCAGCCAACAGTGTTAGTGCGTGCATGGAACAGCGTGTGGTGAGGAAGTTTCTTGTGAACGAAGACGCAAAACCCGCGAGTATCAACAGAAGACTTCAAGCACAGTGCGGTGATGAGACGCTCAGCTGTGTAAACAATTCAAAGATGGCAGTACATATGTCAGTGATGATCTCGGCTGTGGTGGTTCCAGCCCACAGCAGTTATTCTTGTGAACATTCAGCACGTAGAACGCCTGATCCTGGATAATCAACGCACAACCTGCGACACAAGAGACCAATCTTTCTGTGGCCAGCATTTGAGCACTGATGACAAAGTGAAGTAGGCTGTCCTAGGATGGTTCAGGTGTACGGACAAATCTTTCTATCCCAGAGTTTTCCAGGCATTAAACACAGGGATAAGTGTAGAATGTAGTAGGGGAGTATGTCGAAAAATAAATGCAATTTCCACACTTTTTTTTTTTTTATTACATAAGCTCAAAAAGTTCTGGTCCAATTTGAACGCCCCTTGTAATTAACACAACCCAATCCAATCTTTAACAAACTCGTGCAGACTCCACCTCCGCAACATCGCCAAAATACGCACGTTCCTAACCCCAGAAACCACTAAACAGCTCATCCAATGCCTCATCATATCACGACTCGACTACTGCAACTCCCTCCTCACTGGCCTGCCTCGGCGCTGGCTATCCCCGCTTCAGTTGATCCTGAATACGGCTGCCAGACTCATTCACCTTTCCAACCGCTCCATCTCCACCACCCCCTCTGCCAATCCCTCCACTGGCTTCCGATTGCGCAACGGATCAAATTCAAAATCCTAACACTGACGTACAAAGCTGTCCACCATACTGCCCCGAACTACATCACCGACCTAATATCCAAGTACCGCCCAGCACGCACACTCCGCTCCTCACAAGACCTCCTTCTCTCTAGTTCCCTGGTCTCCTCCTCCCATGCCCGCCTCCAGGACTTCTCCAGGGTGTCACTCATCCTCTGGAACTCCCTGCCCCAACCCATCAGATTATCACCTACTCTCCTCTCCTTTAGGCGCACCCTGAAAACCCATCTCTTCAGGGAAGCCTACCCCACCCCCTGCTAACCTGCCGACCTCCTCCACTCTTCCTACCACTCCACCCCCACAGCTATCTCCTCCTGTGCCACCATCCCCTCCCTCCTAGATTGTAAGCTCGAAAGAGCAGGGCCTTCGATCCCCTCATGTTTTGCATTTTATTGGTATTGTTCTGTCACATGTTCTGTCCCCCTTTGTAATGTACAGCGCTGAGCGAACCATTGGCGCTTTATAAATACTGTATAATAATAATTCTAATTTAGATCACCAGCAATGACCATACATTTTCATCCACAGACAGGATTTTCATTATCTGAACTATATTCAACTTTTTGTTTACTTATTCCTTATCCAAAGCTTAATTCTTCATTTTGTATTCAGGATTTTCTGAAATTCTCATCTTTTTGCTCCAGTAATTATCTCATTATTTCTCCCAAACATCTGCACAGAGTTTATTTTCAAATTATTGGCAACACGTTGCGCAAAACATGGTATCCCTTGTAATGCTTCTTAGGTTAACTGCACTGGAATTTCCCATCCTTGTGATACCTGTCCATATTGATATGAATCGATGGGGAAGCAAGGGAACAACATTTGTAATTATAACACTGGGACTGGTTCTTTAATTACTGAAGACACCGAACCTCTTCTAGGCACTTATTCTGAGCAATTCCTGCAAGTGCATTGCAATGGTCTACTTCAGCAACTACCAAACACAGGAAAGAGGGTCAGCAATAAAGTTTTGAAGCATTCTTGTAATGTACATTGTTCACCTGGAGGGAGTTTTTCCCTCAATAAAAAAAAATGCACGTTCACTTTGTAAGATTCTCAATATCTGGGTTTCCCATCCAAGACCATCCTCCACTAATTCCAAAAGGACATGCACTGTTCATGCTTTCTACTTGAGTCCTTTTAAAAGCATTTGAAGTTTTGGTTGAGTTGTGCTATAAAACAAAAACTGCTAACTGCACACTCTCAGCAGTGCTGAATCAGCATGTTCCAGCTCATCGCAGCACTGTGCTGCATAAAAGGGGAACTTTGCAGCTCAGTGCAAAACGAGATTATGAAAACAAAAATAGGCAAAGTCAGATGATTCGAGTTTCCCATTCAGAGTTAAAAAAAAAAAAAAAAAATCTGTTCATCCATCAACTAGACACCTCACATGTGAAAAATCACATACTGTACACCAAAGCAGAATTTAAACGAATGCGTTCACCCTGACCTGCTTATTCAACCATCCAGGGTTATGTTTAAGGAATTCAGCAAAAATCAACTACTGTGTCCAAGTTGACCATATAATATTATACAATGCAGAATACTAGCTTTTCTGTCAGGAAACAAAGACGTTGTATGCAGTTGTAGTGCATGAATATTATACATAGATGGATGAATGCAGGGGTGCCAATATTTTTGGCCATGACTGTACAATATCTGTTGACCATGCCAGGATTTTAGAGAGCCCCTGAACTTGTAGTGAGCAGACAACTCTGTCTCAGGTGTACTTAAATCTTAAGCAGCATTATCAGCCCTACAGGACACCCCTCATGTCCATAATGAAAATGGAAGGTGTTCTGTAGTCCAGGACATGAGGACTCAGGCAAGGCTCACAACGCTGCTGGAGATTTCAGTGCAGCAGAAGTAGGATTGTCACCTCACTGCTGTAAGTTAGGTGCTCACTGGATTTCTTGCAAGATCAACACATTTTGCTTTGAGCATTTTAAAAAAAGACACAAAGCATTGGGAAATGTGTATGTATCACAAAGACGTACTGATTTTTTTTCTTTTAATCTGTCAAGAACCACACTTTAAATAATGCTTAGTATCACATTAACAAATATAAGTCACTATCTAAAACACTACCACCCAGCAGTGCTATAACTAAAATATCACTTTTTGGTGGATACGTTCCAGATGGTTTTTTGTGATTAATATTTGGTTAGAGCGCTACCTTTTTTCGATCTGTCATTTTTTACCTTGTTTGAGGGTAAGGTTTTAGCTGCTTTTTTATTGAGATTTATTATATTTTAGGTTACTTAGTTTTTTTAGTGGCTCTATCCATACCCTTTACTACATTCCAGACCATGCATCAAAAAATGCAATAGGAAAAAACGTCTAGTTCTCAGCACTCACCGGTTGGTTCTTTGGGGCACACATCGGGAAGAGATCGCACCAGTCCTTTTTGCTGTGAAGGGTTTGGGCCCTTTCTGTACATGGTTTTGCTGCTATTCGAATGAGGCATTAGTGAAGAGCTGTTGCTAGATGCCATTGCATACATCTAGAGGAGCTGTGCAAACAACAAAAACAAACACTTTATCACCAGTACCAGTTTACATTTTAAATCATTGCATAAAAATAGGAAAGTTTACATTTAGTTCTCCATAATGATTTTACCAAACTGCACATTCTCAATAAAAACTGAAGAGCAAATACGTAATCTTGCTATGAATGCATGTCAAACCAGGTTTTATTTTAATCTACTGCACATACTGTAAAATGTGGAACGTGGTAAGAATGCTTTTTGTACTACAGCTTGGTTGACTGCTCCTAACGAGCGATTAAGTCATCACAAGGCTGCATGTAAGCCTATACCAGACCCTGAATAATTTATATGGGATTCTTTTTCCAGTCATTATGGTCAAACAGCCTGTATGGAATCATAGGCTTAAATTATTTTTAATACTTGATGCCCTAGGACATTTCTTATCAAATGTGTACCTCATACAGCTCCGAGTCCTCATATATGTCACTATTGTCTCCAAACCACAAATAAAAAAAAAAATGCCAACATTGGTGATTTTTACACTCTCTCTGCTATTCCCACTGCCTAGAAGAAAGGAGGGACTAAATGGATAGTTGGCGGATCTAAGAAGTCTTGCATGTCTGTCATTACTGAGCCACGATTAGTGAACACCGAGGACAGGAGCATTAGAACCTGAGTGTGATGATTGTGCACACTAGAGGCATGGAGGCTGTACATGACAGTCATCTTGTTAGGTCTCTTCCATGTTCCCTCCTGTCCTCCCTCCTCCCTTTTGAATGGAATGCCCGAGTCTAAGTTGAACGGAGGTCAAAAGGGCCTCTTATCCTAAATAAAACACAGCTAGAGGAGCTTCAGGGCTGTAAACCACTAATTAGTCTGGTTCAGGGGGTCTGCTTGAAAACCACTTTCCTCTGTCCGATCGTAAAACAATAACTCAGTCAGTCATGACCTGTTAGGCCATTAGGGCTAGAGTGTGCCATAAAACGTACAATCCACATGAGTCATTTTTCATACAATTCATAAGCTTCAGCAGGAACTGGGCACATTAATATGAAGTATATATTCAGATAGATAATTTTAATATGAGTCACACAAGTCCTTACATCACTATAGTAATACCTACAAGAGAGAAGAAAGCAATCTCTTTTATCCTGAGTGACAAGGATATGCTATGTTTGGTATCTTTGCGTTTGGAATATAATTCTAAATATTAATCTGCCAGTTGCTAGGATGCTACCTGTACCTATTGAAGGTTATTGACCTTAGTATGAAATTGGAAGGGATTTGGTCATAACCTTGGTTACCGCCTAACACCCATCCCCAAACTGGATGATTGGTCATTTGTTCTCGGGAGACACCCCTTTGATATGATAGAAAAAGACTGACAGGCTGGAGAAAGACAGCTCTCGTTTAACATCAAGAGTGTTAAACGAGACCTAAGAGTCTTGAGAGCTGAGGCAACCCTTTGTTTTGGACTTTGCACAAACCAAGGACTTTTGCAATTATTCTGCCTTCTGAACTCCTTTCTTTTATTTATCTGTTTTATTGTTCTCTTTATATCTTTCTTACATCTTTTTCTGTAAATATTTTAATTGCACCGTTTTGACCTTTTTAATAATAAATCCTATTTTTTGAAAAGTGTTGAACTGTCTCTAAAGCTTTTAATGCAAACTAAAGAACCCCTGTCTCTTGAAGAGTGCTACTGTATGTAATAATCCTCTGAATATATCTGTCTGTGGTGACAGTGTGCGTTACAGACGCTTATACTAATATCATAGTGTTACTGCTAAGATTTGTGAGTTTCCTCCTTCTCTGTAAAAAGGTGGTGGTGGCAGTGTGACGGGGTAATTGCGTAATTAACCTGACCCAGTAACAATCGCTATCAGGCTGCTGGCACATAGATTGTAGTCCCGCAAGCTGGAAAATCTTTGTGCAGGGTGCAGCTGAGAGTGGCATTGTTATGCAAGTGACAGCTTGGTGCGAGATCGGCTGGTCCTTCGGTCACGAGTTGGTGAGAAGGGCTAGGTTCGGGCGCCACGTTCCATCACACTGAGGCTATCAAGTAAATGCATTTTTAATTTCCTTGGTTACATTTATAGTTTTATTTCTGGTTACATTTTGCAGTGAGAATGTCAAAACCTCAGCTGTTAACAACTCAAAACGAATACCAAAGGTTTGCTGTACCTCCAAATAAGGCTTCATTCACAGATAAGCATTTTGCGTTCGATGCTTTCTCCAGTGCTGTTTGCAGTTGTTTTGCATTTAGAAAAATGCATTTTTGCTCTGTTATTTTTGCTGGGAAGAATAAAAATGCAAAACGCAGCAAAAATGCACTACTATGCATTTCAGCAGATTCTCCATTGAACACCATTGTAGTAAAAACACTGGTTTTTGCTTTTAAAAAAGTCCCTGACCCTTTTCCAAAAACGCAGCAGCTCAAAAAAGCATAGATGTGAACATGTTCCATAGGAAAATGTTAAATGGACGTTTCTGCAAAAAGCACGAAAAAAAAAACGCATTGTTGTGAACAGAGCCTAAAGAGCATCTGCTGGGACAGATACAAGGGAAAGCCCAGCACTATCTTTCGTTGGCTTGTTAAGCTACAAACAGATACTTGAGAACTATGTAGCTTGCTTTACGGATGCTTACCTGCTCTATATAATTGGGCAGTTATGTTTATACACATTTGTATGCTTCCAAACTCCCTTGCACAATAAATGTTTGCAGGCCTATTTTAATGTACTGGGACTACATGAATGCTTACTTCATGAGGAATATATTTAAGGAAACGCCTTTTAACTAGTTGCCGACCGCAGATAGCCGAATGACGGCTGCACTGCGGCCGGCCAGTTCTGGGTGGACATCATATGACGTCCTCCCAGAACGCACTCTCCTGCACGCCCCAGGGGGCGCGCACCCGGCGATCTCCGTGATCGCTGTGTCCTACGGACACAGCTGATCACGTGATGTGGTAAAAGGCCAATCACAGCGGCCTTTTACCACGTGATCAGCGGTGTCCAATGACACGCTGATCACAGTGAAATGCAAGTGCCGGTTCTCGGCTGCACTTTCCTCACGCTGTCAGATCGTGAGGAAAGTACTGCCGAGAACCGGCAGTTGTCAGAGCGAGGATCGGCACCGATCATCAGGGCACTGATGATCAGTGCCCTGATGATCGGTGCCCAGCAGTGCCGCCCACAAGTTCCGCCCACCTGTGCCCAGCAGTGCGCCCACTAGCTCCGCCCACCTGTGCCCACCTGTGCCCAGCAGTCACCCACCTGTGCCCAGCAGTGCACCCACCTGTGCCACTCTGCAGTGTCACACACCTGTGCCACTCTGCAGTGCCACACACCTGTCCCCAGCAGTGCAACCCACCTGTTTATCACCAGTGCCCGCCCACCAGTGCCCGCCACCAGTGCCGCCAGTCAGTGCCCAGCTGTTGTACCAGTCAGTGCCGCCAGTCAGTGCCCAGCAGTGATGCCAGTCAGTGCCGTCTATCAGTACCCATCATCAGTGTCACCTATCAGTGCCGCCTATCAGTGCTGCATATTAGTGCCGCCTATCCGTGACACCTCATTAGTGCTGCCTATCAGTGCCGCCTATCCGTGCCACCTCATTAGTGCTGCCTATCAGTGCCCTTTAGTGCTGCCTATCAGTGCCCATCAGTGCTGCCTCATCAATGCACATCAGTGAAGGAGAAAAAGTTACCTGTTTGAAAAATTTTATAACAGAAACAAAGAAACTTTTTTTTTTTTTTCAAATTTTTTGCACTTTTTTTATTTATAGCGCAAAAAGTAAAGCGCCCAGTGGCGATTAAATACCACCAAAAGAAAGCTCTATTTGTGAGAAAAAAATTATCAAAATTTTATATGGGTACAATGTTGCATGACCGCGCAATTGTCAAAGTGCGGCAGCGCTGAAAGCTGAAAATTGGCCTGGTAAAAAAGGGGGTATAAGTGCCTGGTAAGCAAGTGGTTAATGCATTCTACAGTAAACCCTGGTTCACACTGATGCAACTTGTCATGCGATCCGACAGTGTCAAATCGTATGACAAAGTTGCACCCTACAATTGGCAATGGAACCGGTCTAATCTGTGCAACTTCGTCGCACCAATTTGAAAAGCAGTTCTTGTACTATTTTTGCCGATTTCTGGTGCGACTTGCATTGACATCTATGCGTGAAGTCACACTGACATGCGACTTTGAAATCGTGCAACTTCACCTAAAGTCACACAATTTCAAAGTCGTATTCAGTGTGAACCAGGACTAACTGAACAATTGCATAAACCTTAACATACCCCAGCCAGTGAAATTTCACAACCATACACTTTTCTTCCTTTTTGTATCCTGTAGTTCAGTACATTTCTCACTTTAATTAGACTGCAAGTTTTACCACAGCCCTCAGTATCAGTGGCTTCATTTCTCTCTTGATATGTGACCTATGCCTTTTTGTTCACATATTATGAAGCTGTAGAATATGAAGGATTTTGATACATGCAGTAGAATATTCAGCTGTCAATGCAATCTTATAGAAGGGAGAGTTGGCCTTCATACACTAAGGCTGGCCATACACTATACAATTTTCTGTGCAATTTATGCCCAATTTCCTTTAGATTTACCTTCAACCCTGTAGTGCAAGAGCCTGCCTAACTGGATACAATTGAAAGTGTTGTTAGGTTTGACCTCCTATTATATGGTTTTTGGTAAATCTAAACCAAAAATCTTTTAAAAAATTGTGTAGTGTATGGCCAGCCTAAAGGACTGTATTGAAGAGTCCCACCTACTGGCCAAAACATTCAAATGACTTGTAAGCTTCAAGATCCTCACCCATTGGTAACAATACATTGCTATAATGGTGATGTGGGTACAGAGCAGGTCTGAACGTCCGTTTTAAGAATACCATGACCACCTTTAAAGTGGAAGTAAACTCAATTTTTTCAATTGTTCCTACAGGTAAACCTATAATAAAAGTCTTACCTGTAGATACAGTGAATATTTGTGAAACGTGTACCGCTTAGGAGATATTCACTGTTGCTGAATCCGATGCATAAGCTCTGAAGGGACGACATACCTCACTTGGGCAATGCAGAGGGAAGAATATTATCCAACTACTGCCAGCAAGTTTATTTCTACTCTTTCATCCATCATTTTAGGGAAAGAGGGGGGGGGTACTACCTTCAACAAGCTGACCCTGCCACTAAGGTGCAAGGTCTACTTTAAGTTACATAAAACAAATAAATATGTTGCACTGCTGAGATTACTCCAGTAAAATCTAAATCCTCAACTGCAGAATTACCACTACAGATGATGTGCAAGTGTAGAGATAGTGAACTCTTTAGCACATTCAACAAAATTTGGTTGATTACTATATAAACCAAAATTTAAAACGTGCAATAAATGAAGCATATGCATAAAGGATCAATATGCCAAGTTAATAAAACAAGTGATGCAAGTTGAAATTTAAGTAGTGCTTTCATCACTCATCAAGTTCTGTGCAAATGTTCAGCATAGTCGGATAGTGAAACCACAATACCAGTGCTGTAACTCTTACTTCAAGGCTCACACTGGTGAACTACCTTTGTGGAACAGATGTGCCCTTACCTTGAACCATGGACATATATGCGATATGTCACAAAAGTGCATTCACCAAATTCAGGGGTTGAGTATGGAACCTAGGGTATCTTCAAAAGCAAGGTTTTTCCCCTTCTTTTCCCTCTTTCTCTGGGGAAACACATTGCTTTGAAGTAGTGGTGCACCGAAATGAAAATTCTTGGACCGAAACCAAAAATCCAGGATGCAGTTGGCCGGTAACCGAAAACTGACAGTTTTTTTTTTTTTTTATATGTAATTCAACTTATTAAAATCATGCATTTAAATGAACTTATTTTCAGCACATTTTTGGCCAATAGGCTGCTTTCACACTGAGCATTTTTTGCAGTGCTTTTGCGTAAAAGAAAAAAAAAAAAGCTAAAGAAAAATGCACCCCTTTAAATTTAATGTATGTCTTCATACAAAATCCAGCTTGCCGCATTTTTGGTGCATATTTGGCGAGTTACCAAAAAAAAAAAAAAAAAAAAAAAAAAAAATGCACCAAAAACACACCTCCCCATTGAGGCCTGGTTCACACCAATGTGTTTTTTAGGGCTTTTTGCAGAAACACACTCCATTTAACATGGTTTACTATGGGACATGTTCACATCTCTGCTCTTTTTTTTTTTTTGAGCTGCTGCATTTTGGAAAGGGCCAGGGGGAAAAAAAAAAAAAAAAATTTTAAAAAATTCAAAACGCATCAAAAATGCGCCAAGAACGTGTGTGCAAAAACTGAAAACGCACTGCAAAATGGACAAACTGCATTTCTGTGAATCAGGCCTGAAATGCATTGAAAACCCATCAAAAATGCATGAGTCACATGACCTATGAGAAACACATCCTAAATGTGGTAAAATTATGTGGGGAAAAAAAAAAAAAAAAAAAAAAAACACGTTTTTGGCAGCCATTATTGCAATCTTTTTTCCTATCAGCAAGATGCAGATAACACTATTTTCGGTCTATACATTTCGGCCACCAATATTGGTGTATCCCTACTCTGAAGATACTTAAAAACGTGTGTATTAAACAGCCAGGTGTCAGGAACCGGAAATGATGCGAGAGCGTTACAGATATTTTTTGTTATTATTGTTTGTAAGTGCATTTTTTTTTATCCCCTCTCTTGTGTGAGTTTTCACTGCAGACCAGGAATCACTATTACACAGACATTGTTCACCAGTGTGCAGCTTGGAGTAGGATTTACAGCACTCGGGGGGGGGGGGGGGGGGGGACCTTAAAACAGGAAGTGTACAAAGGTACAGTCATCTTTTAAAGTGGTTGGAAACTCAGACATGATATATGAACAAAGTATATCCCGCAATAGTGTGCACTGTGTCTCAATCCAGAGCATTAAGTGTCATCTCTGCCTGCTGCCTCCTTCCTCTGCTATCTGCATGAGTGACTTTTGACAAGTCCCTTCCCTCCAAACAGGGCTCAGAGCTGTCCTCACTGATGGAACTTCAGCTTCCCACCCCCTGCTTCATCAGAGCTGGGAGACCCTGTGTGAATTCTGCACTTCTGAATGGATGTAAAGGAGAGGGCTGCAGGTAGGCAGGTGCAGCTTATGTAGGAGGATTGGTTCCATCTCTGTATCACCTGAGGCCAGTCACTTCACTGGGTACATGTGAGGTGTTTACCGACACTTTAAAACAAATGCTTTTCTGATACTTACCAAGTGTATGGGACCATAACAAACCAAGAACAAGCACAATGGAATATTTTGACAAGGCTAAAATTTAAGGGCTGAACAAACAGCAGCAGTTGTGTGGCCAATGTACATAAAAGAAGGTATCTTGTAAGCTAGCTTTTCAGTCAGTCACCAATTGGCTGGTTATTGTTAAATTAAAAAAAGAAAAACACACACACAAACACACACACACAAAAACAACCCTCTGTAATTGTAACCTACTTATACAGGTTAAAGCCCAAAGTTTAGCTAAAATGAAAAAAAAAAACATCAAAATCAGCACAAAGAATATAACACAGTGGGTATGATGTGTCCCTTGTGCCGATTCTTCCTTTCTCTGCCCTAAAACCCCGCCCCCTCCAGCTACAGTTATCTTTCAGTACTGCGGGGGTTAATACAACTAAGGGGCTGTCAGGAGCTCTCATCAAGAGAGTCCGACTATGTCAGTCATTTCCTGCCAGAAGCACTATTCATAGAAGCCGTAATATAGCTTCTATGAATGACGCAGGATCTGGAATGGAGGAGGTGGGGCTATCAATCATCTGTATATCCTCCATTCATAGAAACTGTACTACAACTCCTATGAATGGTGGATCTGGCAGGAAAGGGCAAGGGGGGTGGGGGGGGGGGGGGGGGGGGGGGGGGGGGGGGGGGGGGACTGTAAAGTGGAGTAAGATTTCTCCTAAAAGACAACTAAGCACGAGGGACACCTCATACTAACTTATTTTATGTCCCTTGTGCTGATATTAAGGTTTATGATTTTAGCTAATCTTAGGCTTTAATAAAAAAATTATAAATGTAGTACTCTGTTGCTGCTCTCTACTACCATGGTACCTTTAGTTCAGGCTCAATAGGGCTTCATGGCTATTACAGCTGTTTGAGTGCTTTGTAACAAACCACCCTTCCAAATCCTGCCAACTAGTTTAATAACAATTCATGACGTCAGAGGTAGCGAGGCAGAACCTATAATCAGCATTCTCATAATGACTGTTCATAGTGTCTAAAGACACGTGTACATCAGATACTTTCCTGATGAATAAACAGTTTCCTATCTATAAAATATCTCAGCGGATATTATGCTGACTGGTAGACACTCAGAAGTGTGAGCAGCAAGGAGGAATAATAATACAGAGCAGCAGTATTTGTAAAATAGTTTGCAGCTAACAGGACTGGTTTAGCTAGATAAGTACTTTCAAAAC